TGGCTAGCACTATAAATCGGCATCAGCCCGGACTAGTACAAGCAGCCACACACACACACACATACGCACGTGCATGTACGTCGCTATATAAGTCCACAATCTTGGACCCGACGTTAAACCCAATTTCACCTCATTTTCAATGAATGTTGCGATTTCCCGATCTGGTGAAAAGCGAAGAAAACCTTTCCCTCAATAATATCAACATACATATTTTATTCCTACTTGATCATCACACAGAGTAAGATATATTAATGTTACATGTCCACAATCACACAACAGTGTACATTTATTACATGCCGATAGTCACACAAAACTGCACATATTCTATTGCTACGTTACGATAGTCACAAAAAAAGTACTATAATAATGCTACGTGGCGACAGGCACACAGAAGTGTACATATGTTAATGCTACGTGGCGACAGGCACACAGAAGTGTACATATGTTAATGCTACGTGGCGACAGGCACACAGAAGTGTACATATGTTAATGCTACGTGCCGATAGCAACACAGAAGTGTACATATATTAATGCTACGTGCCGATAGCATCACAGAAGTGTACATATGTTAATGCTACGTGCCGATAGCAACACAGAAGTGTACATATATTAATGCTACCTGCCGATAGCATGCCAATGTATGTCAGAACATTGACGTCATCACTAGAAGTGTACTCAAGTCTGAGATTGGTGTCAAGGCTACCATTGTCAAGGAGACACTAACCAAGACCCACTTCTCTGTTCCATTAGACCGACAAAGTAAAGCAATTTGTGCTTAACCATGTCATCACATTCACAGTTACAGAGAAGACACAGTCCTGATGTCACAGGTAATATGCCGAGCCTAACCGGATCATATACAGGGAATGAAGCAATCTCATACCATACACACGTCCAGAGACGATGTGGGGCAACGCGGGTGTGGATGTCACTAAACCTATGCATATCTGGACGTTGTTGTAAAGTGTTTTTCACTTCATAATTTCAGGGGCGGTCGAGTAGCCTAGTGGTTAAAGCGTTCGCTCTCCACGCCAAAGACCCGGGTTCGATTCCCGACATGGGTACAATGTGTGAAGCCCATTTCTGGGGTCCCCCGCCGTGATATTGCTGGAATATTGCTAAAAGCGGCGTAAAACCATACTCACTCACTCACTCACAATTTCAGGCTCACACATAGCTCGTTGTCTCATGCTTTCCCATACACTGTTAGATGGAGATTCCCCTGAGTTGATGAAATTTTCTAATACGCCTGAGAATCCATCCTTATGGGCCACATTCGGTAGATCATGTGTTATGGATCTGGTACTATATATGAGAGAGTGGTGACATACTGGGAGAATCTGAGATAGAAGATCGGCTTCACAACGGTTGTGCTTGCTGCTCTACAGAGTCGTCCCAGAAAGAGAAGCTTCATTTTCTCCACCTTGCCCAGCATTGACCATTATCCCAGGACCTGAGTTGTAGCAAGTGCAGAGGATCTTCTTTGAAGGTTTTAAACTCGTCGTGCAAAGTAGCGCTGTTGGGTTCCATCTCACTGATCTCACGATTGTTGATATTAGGCCAGAGCTCATATACATAGAAAGCAAATGGGAAGATTACTCGTTGCCAGATAGTCGATGAAGATACTGGGCTCAATCCTCCAGCTCTAAGATCAACATCTCTTAGGGAGTTGATTGTCTGTCGCGCCTTAACACAAGCTCGAGTAGTTCGTTCGCTTACTTTCCCCGTGTGTATCAGAGAGCTTACTAGTTTGGATCGTCATTGTCAATCGTGAATGTTGCGATGATACTTTTCGATATTCACAAAACAGTGTATGTATGAATTCTATCAACACGTGTCACGGGGGGCACGGGTGGCCCAGTCGTCAAAGGCGCCGCGATTCGCTGTGCAGAGTTGCGTCCCTTGGGCACGCCAGAAACCTATGATTGTGGGTTTGAATCCCGGTTCGCCCCGATTATGTTTCTAGGTTTGTCAGCACCATACCCGTGCTCGTGGGTTTCACCGAAGTGGTAAACGTCTGAGGCCTGCATCACTTCGGGCTTTTCTCCTACATTAAGCTGACACGCCGTGATATAACTGGAATACTGTTAAAAGCGGCGTTAAACCAAACTCACTCACTCACTCACACGTGTCACGCCTCGTCGGGTACTCCAAGGAAAGTATGTCTGTCACCAGCTGATACACCAATCCAGTGAGAGAGTAGCCTCCCTTAGACTAAGCGGTCAGTCATGTTCAGTGTGATCGTTGACGAGATATCACAATGGGGTACCGTGACTCGTGTCTGACACATGTCCGATCACACAGACAACTGTCACTGCTCGAGTAACATTATTGAGCTCGAACGTGTCTTTGGTTGTAGATTGGGCTTATCCGATAGCCTTGTGTAACCATTATGTCATGAGACAGCCGAATCATCCGCCAAGAAAACTGTACTCTTATAAAGTCGTCAAAGGTCATAAGTCATTGGAAGTCACGGGAGGCTCAGTCGTTAGAGGCGGAACAATTCCATATCATAGTAATACAGAATTACCTCCCTTGATCGTGCAGAATCCTATAGTTCTTGGTTTCCCACCCGTGCTCATGGGTATCACCAAAGTAATAAACATCTAAGACCTGCATCAATATCCTCCATCCGTCTCCCTCCCCTCCCACACACATACGTTAAACCGACACACTGTGATATAACAGGACCACTCGTCGATTCGGTGTTAAATCAAAATGTCTTACTTGCAAATCATTTATTAAACACGTACATTTATCTACTATATTTGTAACCGTAGCAGAGAGTAGCTTCGTGGTATTCGTTGTAGTTAAACAACTTGTAATGGGGACTATATATGCTCAGTGCAAAACAATCCGGAGGAAATGACATACTTTTAAAAGATTGATATTCTGGTATTACACCGTTTTCACCCGTGTAGAATGGGTAAGGCTTCAAATGGTTATCTGAGGATTCGCCTCCCTTGTTGTTGGGGCTAGTCACGTGATGACGCACGAGCAGACGACAGCTTCTCACATCTGCGAAAATGTCAGAATGTGACACAAATCGGTACAAAGCTTCTCACGAGTTGCATAGGCGTTCCTCTCTCTACTTGGGCCGGTCGGGTAGTCTAGTGGTTAAAGCGTTCGCTCGTCACGCCAAAGACATGGATACAATGTGTGAAGCCCATTTCTGGTGTCCCCCGCCGTGATATTGCTGGAATATTGCTAAAAGCGTCGTAAAACCATACTCACTCACTCCTCTATCTACAGTGTACGATAATGTAAAGAAGTTTGACTCGGGCAGTAATGTATCACGTCAGCTTTGACCAGGACGACATATTGCTCAAGTTGCGCTGACGCATCAGATACGGTCTGCCAAACTTGGTTTCGAAACTGGGTAGGGCCGGGGGTCCCATGGCAGCTGGAAATGACTGCACATACGCAAAAACGCCTGGGCCGATGTACTTGAATCACTGAAACGTTTGATGATGTGAATTTTACAGAACAGTCAGTGTTCCAGCTCTAGAGTCCGTGAAAATGGGGGTTCCGAAGATTTCACCGCGTGTGACAGCATGGGGTGTCATATCGTTGATGGACCTTACTCCTCTTATATTTGTGGAGGGTAAAATTATCACTGTACAGTATTGTCAAACTCTTCAGGAAGGCATAATAGAATCTGCCACAGGACGAAGTAATATGATTCCATTTGTGCTTCAGCATGTTGGCAGATAACCACGTTGACGTGGTGGAATTTCCAGTCGCTTCATTTGATCTGAATCCCATTGAAAATGTCTCGCAGCTCATGAAGGACATTTTGCAGCCTGGCAATCTTGCGGGATGGAAGGACGCGATCCGCGAGACATGGTTGATCCAACCTATTCAGCCATAGAGAGTTTAATAGGAAGTCTGGCGAGGCGTATGAACCAGTGTTTCGACAGACAGGATGCCCTAACTAAATACAAATAATGTGTTTGTGAAAGACAGGGTGCTCTCACTGAATATCAATATTGTACTAGTAAAAGAATGCGTCCTTACAGCTTATCGTGTGAGCCAATAATATTGAAATATATGATGTATTTCTTAGATAAATATATGTTTGAAAAATTCCGGATGTTTTCCTTTGTTATTTACATGTATGTCAATACCACATACCAGTGTTTATGTGTACATGAACACATATTACTATACATTATATGCCGCATATAAATAAAACTGTGTACATTTATGATTGATAACATGTTGAGATAACTGAAGTTTGATATAAGCAGAGTGCCGTTATTAAGCCGTAATGTCGATACACATTTAACTCAGATCATAACGTCTTAAACGATAGAGCAAGTTCGATTCTCTAGGGAATTCTGCGGAAGAAAATGTCCCAATGATACATCCCGACTTGGCTAGTCGTGTGTCATCTTACCAAAAGAGCGGATCGTCCAGACTCGATGAATTACAGACCTGCGTGATATAACTAAGCCACTCCACTCCTCTCTCCCCCCCCCCTCCCCCCGCTCCGCTCCAATCCGCTCCACTCCCCCCCCCCCCCCGCTCCGCTCCGCTCCATTCCACTCCCCCGCTCCGCTCCACTCCACTCCACTCCCCCCCCAGCTCCGCTCCACTCCACTCCGCTCCGCTCCATTCCACCCCCCCCCCCCCCCGCTCCGCTCAACTCCATTCCGCTCCACCACCCCTCCGCTCCATTCCACTCAACTCTACTGCCCCCCGCTCCGCTCCGCTCCACTCCCCCCCCCCCCCCCCCCCCCGCTGCGCTCCGCTCCGCTCCATTCAACTACCTCCCGCTCCGCTCCACTCCATTCCGCTCCATTCCACTCCACTGACCCTGAACAGCTATCAAGACAGTTTGAAAATAACCCGAGCAGGATAATTGTTACACTCACCAGCGGAAACCAAGGCAACATTCGAGGGAGTGAGTGAGAGTTGGATGGGTTGCTGGCTTGGTTTGGGGTGGCTGGCTGGCTTGGTTTGGCTGGCTGGCTGGCTGGCTGGCTGGGAGATTGGTCAGTGAGTGATTTAACGCTGCTTTGAACAGTATGTCAGTTATGATGGGTCACCTTAATGTGGGAGGAAAGTGACGGAGGTCTCAGATTCTAACTAGTACTATTCACATTCTGGACAACGGAGAAAAGCTAATCTGCGCATTGAATTGCCGGGCCTTAGCCAACTCACATCAGTTTTGACCATGGAATAGACTAGAGAAATTCAACATAAATATACGTGATTTGCACAAAACCAAGATCCCTTCATTTGTATTAACACCAGGTAAGTGTGTGTTTATATGTGATGAGAATTCGCCCCCATTTTCTATTTGCTGGCGATAATTGTAGCTTAGCTTTCTTTGCGATTTCAAACACCAACATTTTGCTTTAGAAACCGACACCGTAATACCTTAGAAATACATTCGCTTTGTAAGTAGAACACAGCCACATCCTTATTCAATGAAGACCACACTAATCCTCTAAGCTGTGGAGTAAGTTCTACAGACGCCTAGGTGCATATCATTGAGGTTAACAATACACGCAGCCCGTGTGGCTAAGCGACCGCTTTGAATGACCCACAACAACGCACGATGTCACAGCTGGAAATCTGCTTAAACTATTTGCATAGTCAAAATACGCTCAGACCTGTTCAATAACATTCAAGATACGAACCGATGTAGACATACCTAGGCCTACTCAAACAGACACTCGGCCTTCGTACACACGCATACGTACTGTGGTAAAACAGGTCACAGACGGTGCAAAGTCCTCAACAAGGAATAGGTCGGGTGTGTAGTGATTTAAATATGCAATAACTGTACCCTTCGTCCATGGACCTTCAGTCTCACGTGGGTTCTGTGAGGTAAGAGCACTGATATTCACTGGCCATAGCAATTATATTCAAATAACAGGGTCTAGATGTATACTAGTATATTTTAGTTATTATTTCTTAAAGAGTCAGCATTGCATGTTCGCAAACTTTACATAGTTTAATATCAACATAACCTATATACAGTATTGATCGCGTGGGGATAATATAACGATTTATAAGCTGGTATCATGGACACGACGTATGTCGGTGGTATGTGTATTTTAACAAAGGGTTTAGCAGTCCTGTATTATGTATGGCAGTTAAATTCACTTATTTCTATCAGCTGTATCTTTTATTGACGGTTGACATCATCGGTACATGTGGCTGGGATGGTATGTAAGCAGGCGGAGAAGGCAATACAATATCCCCTCTTTCAAAATGGAGAATGAACGTAGCCGTGTATTGTAGAGCTGTTACAATCTAGGGCAGTAAATGTTTCCGTGCAAACAGTTTCGTGATAACAGGTACATACATGTGATTATGTTAACGTGAACTAATTTTAAACATTTGGGAAGGATATGATCTCATATTGATTTACAGTGAATGTAGGATGGTCAGTGTGATACAGGGATAATTGGTAGATGACCATGTATACGGACGTGATGCAAGGATGTAAATATAGAATGGATTTATCACCCCTGTCATTTAACCAGCATTAAGGGATATCAGGACGGTAGTTTGCGAGTTTATATGCAAAGCTTGAAGAAACATCAATGTGCAAAACTCTAGATCTGGACCATCAAGGTATAAACAGTCAATTAATATTATTATTGGGGCGAATGTGGACGTCACACGCCTGGCAGGTATATCCTGTATATTAAGAACATACAGAGAGGCCGTTGTAAACCACGGTCCATCCGCTGCCCCAAGACTGGCAAACATACATGCATACATGCATGCAGGCGGACAGAGCGAGTGAAGGAGTGAGTATGGTTTTACGCCGCTTTTAGCAATATTCCAGCAATATCACGGCGGGGGACACCAGAAATTGGCTTCACACATTGTACCCATGTCGGGAATCGAACCCGGGTCTTCGGCGTGACGAGCGAAGCAGGCGGACGTACAGACTGGTATATGACAGTGGGCAACATTGTTGGACACAGACAATTGGTGTTCGACAGGATTGGCATAACGTACATGGAAAATCGTCCGTGAAAATATTTTAAAGTTAAATACTGTTTCCCTGGTTTCATTCAGATAGAAGAAAGGAACGTTCGACGATTGAGGAGGAAGACATGGATGTCAATGGCAAGACTGTATTTGTTACCGGCGGGGCCCAGGGAGTGGGCCGATCTCTAGTCGAGGCTGTGCTACAGAAAGGAGCAAAGGTAGGGTTTGGTACTTCTGTAGTCAAAGGTAAAAAGATATTGATCTTATTTGTCATATTGAGATCTCAAGAAAATTCAAAGCTCTCTTCTAAACTTTTAAAGTGTGGGTGAGTATGGTTTTACGCCGCTGTCAGCAGTATTTCACCAATATCACTGCGGGCGACACCAGAAATGATCATCACACATTGTACTCATAAGGAAAAGTGAACCCGGGCTTTCGGCACGACGAGCGAACGCATTAACCACTAGGCTACCCCATCGTGTTGATATCGGTATATCTATTTATAGGGTTCGCTAAAGACATTTCTACAGGTAATATTTTGGCATTTGATTTCCCCTGCAGAGTAATACATATATAGCAATTTGAAAGAAAATGAAAAGTTGAGTGGTTACCCTGGGCTCTGGTTATTCTTCCTAACTGTTAACAATGTCCAGTTATAAAAAAATACATATGACCACATGTACAGTTACTATTGCCTTTTAGCATATAATTACTGTAGATCTAAAACTTAACTGCCGGGCAAGAGAATGTATACACTTGAAAATTGGATTTGACCAAACAATTAAAAAATATTGTGAAACCGTTACCGTTAAAACAGTCGCCGAAACACTGCAAACTTGAGATCCCAAACACAACTATTAATCACCATCAAACACGCGAGAGGTTCAACGCGCGAATCACGATAATATTTATCGAATAACAATATACGTTGATTGAAAATAGCGTTATCATGTTGGGACATTTATGCAGATCTGTACAGCTTATTATACTCAATCTTGTATGTACTAATATTCACTGATGGAATTATTTACGACGATGACTAATGCACACACGAGGAAGTTGACTAATATGAAACCGACATTACAATCACACAGGCTGCAGTAATGACACATGGTCATGTTTCGAATATTAACCTGAAAGAGCTTTGTGAAAGGATAAGACCCGTAAAGATCCGGGGTAGAATAGGTCTTCAGCAACGCATACTTGCCGTAAAAGGCGACTATGCTTGTCGTAAGAGGAGACTAACGGGATCGGGTGGCCAGGTTTACTGACTTGGTTGATGCATGTCATCGTATCCCAATTGCGTGGATCGATGCTCATAATGTCAATCACTGGATTGTCAGGTCCAGACTCGATTATTTACAGACCGCCGTCTTATAGCTGGAATATTGCTGAGTACAGCGTTAAACAATAAACAAACAAACTTAAAGGATAATGTTGTCAGGAACAGTCCAATACACATGTGCTCAAGTATAGTATAGGCCATATATCAATAACTGTGTGTCAGTAGTAACTTCAAGTTGGATGATAGATTCTACTTAGTGTCATGACTGACAAGCCAAGGCTCTATACAACAAATCACTTGTAAACGTAGTCCTTACCGTTAGGTTGGGTAACCATAGGTAGACAAAGTTCAATTCACATTCTAACTTTTATACGTTCAAATTGAAATAACTAGATTTATTTTTGTCATTATAATGTATGTAGGAAACATTACATTGGACAAGAAGCGCCTGTATTTGAAACTAAGATTTCACAATTTATCGGGTTTTTTTAAGGCTAAAAAGTTCTCGTCAGTTCAACTGTGCGAGTTCACGTCAAGAAACATAGTTTCGGACCTTTGCATTTTACAATACGTATCTTCACATTTGCGGGTGGTTTTGAGTACAGCGGGCGTAGGCAACTCATACATGTAACAGATATGTTAACGGATAAAGGTACACTGAAATTGATATTCTTTGCAAATACTCAAACTGAACTGTACGTGCTTTGTATTTTAGATGGACTGAAGAGACTTTTTAGCCTTAAAAAACCCGATAAATTGTGAAATCAAATATTCAACTGGTTGATTGAGTGAATGTGTTTAACGGTATTGCACATGAGTTAGAGAGGAAAGACCACGGTAATGCAGGGGATTGACACTAACAGTTTGTTAGCACATGTATACTGTCGCTTGGCAGCGTTCACGGCACATATTGTCGCCAATCGTCACCTATTATTCCCGGCAACGATACATGTTCGGGGTGCTGTGATTTGAGAAGCCATTGATATGATTTTAAGATGACTCAGAATATTGTTAATTCGGACGCCATTATGAAGATGCTTTGCATAATCTCTGCATTTGCCTTCAATTTGCGGTTATTAGATGTAATTGTCACTTCCATATTTGAGCATGGGTATGATCCTAAAAATTAACTGTTATATGCAAATTTAACTGAAGATATTAATCTACCACTAGAAACCAGAAATGTTTTTTCTAATGAAATGGGTAGTGTTGAAATATATACCGCTGATACACTTGTTCTATACCAGTGATATACAAGTGATACACTAGTTAGACATCTATAGATTGCTTTGTAATTATTTTTCTCTAAAACTTTCGAATATCCATGAACATATGATTGTAGAAATATATACTATGAACTTACACTGTATGTTATTTCTAAATACAAATACATTACCTCTCAAACATTCTACTCTATAATATTTTCTGTAAATGTTTCCAAACAAAAACAATACAAATTGGAATTACATCAATGGCTTCTCAAATCACAGCACCCCGAACATTTATCGTTGCCGGGAATAATAGGTGACGATTGGCGACAACATGTGCCGTGAACGCTGCCAAGCGACAATATACATGTGCTAACAAACCGTTAGTGTCAACCCCCTGCATCACCGTGGTCTTTCCTCCCTAACTCATGTGCTACACCGTTAAACACATTCACTCAATCAACCAGTTGAATATTTGGAGCTATAACGATAAATCACTTGCAGACACATGTCGCATGCTTCCGTAATAATGCCTTTGCAGAATGTTTGTGAGTGCATGCGTGTGCGTACGTTCATGTGTGTGTATTTAGGGAGAGATGGAGAGGGGGACTAAATCAAGTTTTTTTTGTGATAAATATTGATCGAACATAATGTTTAATTATCTTGGTATCTATTTCGCCAAGGACCCGAGAAGATCCTGGTTAGAACAGGTCTTCAGCAACCCATGTTTGTCGTAACAGGCGACTAAAGGGATCGGTTGGTCTGGCTCGCTGACTTGGTTGATGCATGTCATCGTATCCCAATTGCGTGGATCGATGCTCTTGATGTCAATCACTGCATTGTATGGTCCAGACCCGATTATTTACAGACCGCCGTCATATAGCTGGAATATTGCTGAGAGCGGCGTAAAACAACAAACAAACAAAACAAACACACAAAACAAACAAGCAATTCCGCCAAGATGACTGACATATGTTTTCTTTCTAAAACCGATATTGAAAAAGAGTACATTTGTCGAGAAACGCATTCGTACGCATTTATACTCAATTGTCGTTATTGATAATATAGAGAGATTATATTTGATTCTTAGTTGGATTGCTGAAATGATAAAATTCTCAAACACTGTTTTTGAGAATTTCAAACAAATTTTCAAATCAAATATATCATCATAAAAAAGTTTAAATCTCCGAGGACTCTTTTATGGACTAGTGTTGATGTATATGATATCAAACGACTCGAGGGCGAGATTCTATTTACCATCCAAAATCATTCTTTCAACATTTTGTACACAGTTATAACCAGTTGTTTGTGTGTAAATAGTACAGCTAATCAACATCAGAGGTGACAAATAAGTTGTGTGATTTGATTGTGACGTCATGGTGACCGATGACGCCACCGACGTCTGCAAAGCTTGATTTCCTCCAAGCGATACCTCCCGCCAGTTTGCAACTCGATTATTGTTGTTTACGATTTTTTATTCACCAGGTGTGCATAGCAGATTTTAATGCAACACAAGGGAAGTCAACTTTAACTGAACTTCAAGAGAAATGGGGAAAAGAAAACGTTATCTTTGAGGCATGTGATGTCTCGGATTCTAAATCCTTTGAAAGTAAGTAGATATCGTACGTCAAAATTGGACGAGTGAGTGAGTGTGTGAGTTGGGTTTAACGCCGTTTTTAACATTGTTCCAGTTATATCACGGCGTGTCAGCTCAATGTGGGAGGAAAGCCCGAAGTGATGCAGGTCTAAGACGTTTACCACTTCGGTGAAACCCACGAGCACGGGTGTGGTGCTGACAAACCTAGAAACATAATTGGGGCGAACCGGGATTCGAACCCACAATCATAGGTTTCTGGCGTGCCAAAGGGACGCAACTCTGCACAGCGAATCGCGGCGCCTTAGACGACTGGGCCACCCGTGCCCCCCTAAAATGGGACAAGAGGTAAGAGGACCGTAGTTCATTTAGCTTAAATAAGCGCCCATAACGATCTCCATATATTCCTAATGACTATGCAATTTCCATTGTGCCCGTAACGAAATGACTAAATGTGACGTCATCGTACATATTTCATTTCATGTCACTTGGAGGGTGACTATAGCGCTGTCGCTGATTAACATGATGTAATGATGTTTTATAGCATGTCATCGGCTGGCGCGCTTATTTTAGGAAGTAAATAAAACATGACTGAGTGGCTCTTCTACCTACTGAATCCATACAATCTAGACCATCAACTAGCCATTCCAGAATGGTCTTTTGTTCAGGTTTCCAATTTGTAATCGAGAGTTTGTCAAAATATGTTTCGAAGCGTAGTCGCCAATTTGAAATTAGTGCCGTAAAGCACGAGAAAGCTGCCTTCTGATTGGTCATTCCATTGGTCGGTCAAAGTTCGCGCAAGGTCGGTCTGACGTGACCCGTAATGGGATGTCCTCAGATCTTTGTTTGGCTGTAGCGAGAACTAAGATCTGATTTTAATGAGATTGACCCACTGCAGGTAATGAATTGTAACTGTCCACGCAGTATGTATAGCTGGGTGCACGAGGAACCTTTGAGGCCTAGAATATGTATATGTTTGGTTATATTTTATTATAAAAATAAAACAAATGGGAAAGTAAGGATTCTTGATCAATATCGACCAAATCAAATGTGTCACTTCTGGACGTCCTCATTACCAACCGATTCACTTGCATGCCATGAATAAATAGTGCCCCGTACGTGATGTTGCCTGACGGTTATGCTAATGATATAATTGGAATCGTACAATCGACTCCGCATGGATTTTCACTCGTGGTAATAAAAAAACTGTCTAAAGTGGACTCGTTTCGTAATCTAAATCTCCCGTATAGGTTAAATTGCTGAATAGACAATAATTAAATTTTCGTTGTGTTCATTTAAATTCCTGCATTCTGATTAGCAGTCTGCTGATTTGGTCACATGTTATTTGATTCATTTCACAATGAATGTAAACAATTAAGCCACGCCCACCGAGGCGCACTACTTTTATCACGGGGATGTGATCCCAATATTACAGTCAAGGGAATTCCCTTTCTGCTTACGTTTATCGTCATGCACAGGATATTTAGCGACATTCATGCATATTCATTGTCAAAACTATCCTTTGAAGCCAAAGGCCGAGAAGGAATAAAACAGCAAACGTGCATGCTCGCTCGCCTGTTTTTTTTCCGCTCGCCTCGGTTCCACAATTTTCCCGTCTTTCGGTTTCACTTCGAACTAGCATTGTTCCAACTGTAATTTCCCGTTTTCAGGAAACTAATGTTTGAATCTGACGGTAACTGACCATGTCATTTGAAAAAGCCGCCTTCTCCCGGACACATTTCTTCCGGTTCGTTACAGTCTCACTGTTGCAGTTCTTCTCGCCTCTTGCCTTGATTACCGCCTCCGTGGTCTTGTGGGAGAGCGGAAGGTCCGGGGTTCGATCCCTGGCCGCGTCATACCAAAAGACGTTAAAAGTTATGGTGAGCCAGCACTATAAATCGGCATCAGTCCGGACTAGTACATGCAGCCACACACACACGTGCGCATACACGTCGCTATATAAGTGCAATAATCTTGAACGCGACGTAAAATCACGTCTTGCCTTGATTGACGGGTCCTATGGACAATGTAATTGATCCTACTCTGATTGGCTACTGATTGTGTAGGCGCGTCAAGCTATGTGCATAAATTAAACGATCATCTGTTTCATGTCAGCCACAGTATGATCATACACCTGGAATGTTTATCAATCTCGTCATTTTTGTCTGTTTTGATATATACAACTGCTTTTGGTTAAACTATTGTAGATAAAACATGTTTACGTTGTCGAATTTGATAATAAGCATTGACTGTGTATTTTTTCGGTTCATTGAGGTATGAATCGAAAAACCGATGTGCAAACTTTTGTAAGAATCCTTAATTACTTGGAAGTTGACGGATGACAAAGTAGACACCATTTATGGATAACCACTTCTTTATTAATGACAACGGTATACGGATCTATACCGACACGTCGCCTTTACAGTAAATAAAGTAGTTGTTACCCATAAATTGTGTCTACTTTGTCAGTCAACCGGTGAGTCTCCTTTTGCACGCAATCTTTAAATCACTGGGGCAAATGTGTACGTAGATGAGACAACGTTGCCTTGTCCCTATCTGAAGCAGTACTAAGTAAATGTCAATGTACAAAGACGTGTTACGTTTGACAATTCAAGATTTAGTGTGGTCCAGGAGGGAGGTATGTTGTTGAAAGTACCGAAAGAACTGTAGTTGTACAAAAACATCAAACACGTTATCAAAAGACCACCACAAAGGTTCACAAACAAAGTTTAAGGCAGGCTGGTTCAAGTAAACACATTGTATTTCTTGCGCTAACATACGTCATGCTAGGTATTACCTTAATTATAATAGACAGTGTTGATAACGCTGGTTGTGCTGTGTTAATTTCTTCACGACACACTTGGCGTTGTTTTCACACCTCACCTATGGGCATTTGCGTATTCATAATAAATAGTGCCTTAAGAATGCTGGTACCATCTGAAACGACGGGGTGCTTAGTTTGAAATATACATTTCAGTGCAAGAAAATGTCGCTTAGTGAGAATATTAATCACTAATCCTCGACCCCTTTCTAGTTACAAGTATTTGGTTTCGAAGTATGAACGATCTCTTCCACGATTATGTGTCATCAATGGAGAGATACGGGTGGAGACTCATTGCGTTGCTATGAAGCTCTTTATCTTGCCTATGATATGTTAAGACGAACCATTTCAGTTGAGCGAGCGAGTATGGTTTTACGACGCTTTGGGCAATATTCCAGCAATATCTCGGCGGGGGACCAGAATTGTGCTTCACTCATTGTACCCATGTTGGGAATCGAACCCGGGGCTTCTGCGTGACAAGCGAACGCTATAACCACTAGGCTACCCCATCGCTCTCATTTCAGTTGAAAAGAGATTCGTATATCGGGGAGATAAAGGTGTTTTTTAGTGTAAGTGTGGTAGTGTTCTTTTTTAAGTAGAACACGATGAGTGCCTCCTTCACATTATACATCTACATGATAGTCAGTGTATTATTAATCAGTATCATGCCTTGCTTTAAAAAGATATTTTCTTGATCAAGTCAGGTCAAACATATTTATTGTATTGCCGATATACAAGTTACCTATCTGTAACTTCATATCTGGTCTAATGTCATAACACAGGGTATGTCCGAGAGTAGATTATTTCTCAGTGACAATGCAATGACCAAATTCCCCATTCGATGAGAACAATAACACGAACACTGGTTTAAGTATCATAACGATTTGTTAATATTCTTTTCTACCTTGAATTTTGAAAATACCAGATTTAGAGGTTTCAAATAAATATAAACGCCCTATCGTTGAGATTTTGACGGCCGTATCAACGCGGAAGCTAACATTTTTAGAATACTGTCTTTTACAGTCATTGTCGGTAAACATATTTACATAATTATATGTCCAACTATAGGTTACACAATGCAAAGTTGCTGTTACTACAATATTCAAAGGATTTGTGTCAATACATACCATGCAGAAAACACGATAGAAATCTGCAAAGTTTTGAAGAAAACATAGAGCTTGCTATTTCGTGCTTTTCTATATACGAGTGTAACGTCATATCTTTTGAGCACAATAAGCACTATTACGTCATAATAATGACGTGCGATGTGGAACGAAACCTTTGCACGGCTTGCTTAGTTTTCTGAAGGAGTAAACACCTCTTGTTGGCTTACGAAACTAGCGTGCTAGATCCTTCGGTGCCTGTCATAAGTTCGAATGAAGTAATACGTAGTACAAAAACTGCTTGAGAATATGGAGCAACGTGTTTTGTTTAAGGCTGTTGTCAGCATCGTCCCAAGGCTCCTTCCCAGCCTTTGACACCTTACTTACACTCTCGGTGTCGCTGCCAGCAGTGTGGGCGCGGTCATTACAATAATCTTGAAATTTGCCATCTAACCCGAAATGTAGAAACTTTTGTTTATGTATTCGGGAATTCCATCACGGATATTTTTTAAAAGGTTTTCGACTTAACAAAAATTCCCAGATGAATTAACCTTTTTGTTTGTTTGGTCGGATTAGTTCGTGATTGCAGACGAATAAACCAAGTTCTCCCAAATATTCTTACTATACCAATTACATGATTGCTGTAATGAAACAGAAATTCAAATTGACAAACAAAGAAAGTAATTTAGCAGGGGTAAGTGTATTCGGCGTAACGACGGTCGTCACTTGTTTGTAATCACAACGGTCAATCAGCTGCGAGTTCGACTCCAAGCATGGTTGAGGTCATCTATCTCTGCGGGGAGTTTTGACTGGTGGCAGCAATAGTACAGAGAGCTCCGCGAACGGGCTATCGCTGCGAGGAGCTTGCATCTTCCCTAGCAAGAGAGTCAACTGACTGTAAACGTCCAGTTTCCATAGGTGTTTGGTTTTAGTAAATAGTGAAAAAATGTTGAGGCGGTCTAGGCTACACGGTAATATAAATATTCGTTTTCGAAAAATTATTTTGGAACCTCACTGAGACCCAACTGATCGAGTACAAGCCATCTGATGTTAAAGCAGGTCAAGTTTATTCGTTTAATTTATAATCGAGGGAAAGTCGATGGTACTTGTCGTTACCCTGCCTGGCGTTCGGCATTAAGGAAATGGGCAGGTTGGCTTGGGGTGTGAGGGATATATCCATGTTAAAACTGTGGCATGGTATACCAGTAGGCTGGCACTATAAAACCCCTAAATACGTCGCTATATAAAGTGCAATAGTCATGAATGCGACGTTACTCTCTATTTACCGTACTTCGCCGTTATAATTGCAGTATGTACTTCTACTGATGTTGTTCTTACGTACATTCAGGTAGCTTTCAAAAAGCTGTCAGTCACTTTGGAAGGATAGATGTGCTAGTCAACAACGCTGGAATAGTCAGTGAGAAAGATTGGGAGAAATGTATCAACGTCAATTTTGTAAGTTGATGGTTTCCATTGATGTAAAACATGTTTTGTTCAGTTAAACTACGTTTCGGTCACACTGCTAAATTGCTGCACATGCCATTTAAAGTAAGTTCTTACCACCCTTCAACATAGTTTAACCTTGATGTGTTCACGGCACTGCCTACAAGCAGTCAGAACAATGTGAAGGCCGATCTGTTCAAATTACAACCATGACAATAGCACCATATCTTCGGCATATGCTTAACTCAGGGACAAAATATGCTTATATAATCCATACAATTCTATTCTACTGCGACCCAAGGTATTAATTGTGACACTGTGTATTTGCCAACTTATGTTCAGATGGGAGTAGTCAGAGGAACTATGCTGGCCTTAGAGCACATGCGGACAGATCGGGGGGGCCACGGCGGCGTCATTATCAACACATCCTCCACGGCAGGTGAGCGTCAGATGTTTACTTTACTTCAGCGATTATATCCATTTGATCGCTTCATTTTATTACAAAACTAATATCACAACTACTATACATTATAACTGGCATAATAGTACGACTATCTCCACCACTAACATGACAGCTAACGCTATTACGTCCATGAGTGACACTACCATACCATCTACTACTCCTACTACTACTACTACTACTACTACTACTACTTCTACTACTACTACTACTACTACTACTACTACTACTACGACTACAGCTGACACTTTCACTATCGTGACATCACCAGTCTCTACCACTACCACGTCAACCAAAAAGCAACACTATGATCGCTACAACTAGCACTTTCTTTTCAAAAGTGATCACCGCCACTGCCACTGTTACATTGATCTCCACCAACAACAACCTCATCACGACTGAACACTATCGTTACAGACATCAATATCATGAACACCACGCAGATCTCCACTGATCCTTTATACACCGAACAACAAGTTCCTGTGACACTGAATAAGATTTAATGTTATGTTTTTTACCAAATCTGAAACAATTTCGGTTTGCAACAGATAAAAGACTCCTGTAATTGTTCAGATGGTTTAATACTGACTTCAGAAAAAGCGTGATTTCATAAAAAAAAACATGAACATGCCAAAATGTCAATTTACAAATCAATAGCGTGTGTGTCCACTTCTGGTTGCGATGCAAGCAACACATCTTCGTCTCATTGAATGGACCAGGCGTCGCACAAAGTCCTTGTGGGATATCTGTCCATATCTGCTGGAGCATATTTCGAAGTTCCTGGAGTGTCAGTGGAACACGTGGTTGACGTCGAAGGCGCCGATCCATCTCATCCCACAAGTGCTTGATTGGTGAGAGGTCAGGGGAGCGAGCCGGCCGGGGGATGACATTCACGTTGTTTTGTTGTTTTTGCAAAAAACGGTAGAACAACAGGGCCGATGATCTCGTCGCGGTAGCGCTGTCCATTGAGATTTCCCTCTACCACTATCAAACGGGTCCTCTGTCTTGCTGTAATCCCATCCCATACCATAACGAACCCCTCTTCTTCCATGACACAGTGATTGACGTAACGTTCACCTCGACGTCGGTACACTCGAATCCGTACATCGCTGTGGCTGAGGTGAAAACGAGACTCGTAAGTGAATAGAACTTGTCCCCACTGCATGGACGTCCAGCGTAGACGCTGTCAGCACCACTGTAGACGTGCTTGACGATGGTTTCCTATCAAAATTGGACGTCTAGAGGGTCTTCTGGCGACAATCCCTGCACATCTGAGGCGACGACGTACGGTTTGTGAAGATATTCGTCGATGGCCAGGGATGCTTCTTGCAGTCACTGTTGCTGGCTGGAATCGATTTCGTAGGTGTGTTGTTCGAATCCAGTTGTCTTGTCGATTATTGGTGACGCGTGGCCTGCCACTCCGAGGATGGTCGCTGACTGCATTCGTCTGTTGCCAACGTTGCCATAAACACCAAATGGTGTTTCTGTGGACGTTAAATTGTCTTGCAACATCACTTTGACTCGATCCTGCTTCAAGAATACCAATGGCTCGCAGACGCTCATTTTCGGACAGACGTGACATTTCGTAATGTTGAATAATTGCGTAATTTTGTTGTTTTTCTGAGTGGTTGTTGTCAGCACTATGCTAAACAATGCATATAGAATCCCGTTAACGCACATGTTTTTATACCCATTCTTGGGTAGTGAAATGCATGGGGCTTGCATAAAAGTCAACTTTTGCATGGAATACATGCTCTACTGTAGCAGCTGCGTTTTTGTGACTTGATTCCATACATGTACTACAGTATTGAAAACCAAACTTGACTTGTTTGAAAAATGCACTAAAATATTGGTGTCACAAGAACTTTTGTTGTTGAGTATATAATAATATTTCAACAATGTAGCTATTACTTGGAAGTGTCCACTTTATACTTCTCGCTCCTAGAAAACCATAACAACTGTTTCAGGAAGTCATTGTGTGAAGACAAATTATGAGTTTTGTTTTCATGATTTGTTTTAAAAATAAATAAATTTATATTACCTTTGTGTTTAAACTCAAATGTGTCATGTTCTCCGTCCTGACTCTGAAGGTACCACTGCAAATAACACTTTGTTCCACCTCCGGGATGACATGCGCTTTATGACGGTATAGGAACTTGCATCAATAGGTAGGCGTGCTACAAAATGTCTTCGCGCCGCGTTGCTCCTCTGGATCAAAGGTATCTGGTTAATGTTATTACTACACAAATCAGTCCCCTCGACTTGTCCACCCGACTTTGAGTACTGTATCCCATCTCCTCTATTTACCATTATATACACTCGCATGTATAACAGCTATAGTAAGTACATAATAAAAATAGTATAGGAAACCTGACATTGCATACAACAGGTTTTTTATGGCTTAACATCTCTGAAAGTGAACGCACGAGCCTTTCGTTTATCTTTACTATTATTTAACCATTGACATTTGACATATGACTGACGATAATATTCTGTAAAACAGAGCACATGTGACCGACTTCAGTGTAGTAAATATATGACGTCAACGCCAGAGAACCACAGCATTACTGTTTCAGGACTTGCTCCTGGATTTTGGGTACCCGTGTATGCTGGCACCAAGAGCGCCGTTGTGAACTTCACATGCAGCTGGGCGGTGAGTTGTGCAGTTGACGCTGCCCCCTTTCACCTTTCACTTGAAATACTTATAAACAAAAAGTGTCCATGTTTTATCAGCCCCAACCACCCTCACAAAAATCCCAGGACTCACAGAATATTATGGTGGGACCTTTAATGTACTCCATATGCTGGTAGACGCGTTTCATTTATCAATGCAGAGTCATTTCTATACCTCCAATATAAGTCAAAACAAGAGAAGACATCATCATTGTGGTCGGCGAAACTTCACTGAAAATAACAGCAGACATTTGGGTCATACATGTGTATCCACTTGGGAAGTGCGTTCATTTGTCACGCCAAGGATCCACGTTCAACTCCCAACATAACTATGTGTGAAGCTCCTGCATGGTTCCACCATGATGTTGCTGGAGGATAAATAGACTTCACTCACTCCTCATCCCCTTTGGTTGCAGGCTAATCCCGATATAACAAATGCAGGTGTTCGCCTGGCAACTGTGTGCCCCTCCGGAACATCTACAGCTATGATAAATGAGGCTAGGGAGGATCAGATGTATCACAAGGAAAGCTTCGTACAGGTTCTGAAGAAACATGGTTTATGCGAGTAAGTCATCGGGCCATTCATATTGTTTTGTATTGTTATACTGTTCATATTGTTAAGTTTATAATTTTCTTTACCTCAAGAGTTAAAAGAATGTTACAGTTTTGTGTTATAAATTTGATGCAAAGTTATTTGCTTATAAGTGTAGTTTCTAAATCTGTGTTGTGTTAGGAAGATAAAACAACAATAGGGTGACTTTAATTTTTCATTTAGTCTTCATATAAAGATGTGGCTATATTTGATATATTGGAAACGGGAAGTTCATCTATTCTTTCAAGAGCGGGGTAACAAGAATGCACGTGGAAGGGTGGATTGCTTTTAAAATAATATATACTAGGAACAATATTCCATGACACTGATGGAATAATATCGGCAAACAGGTCGGGTTAAGATTTGGGTGGGCAGAGGAAGACCTAGAAAGATTACTCCCAAGCAGGATCGATATGTACACATCATTGCGTTGAGGAACAGATTCATCTCTTCACCAGAGCTGAGGACTTCTAGGAATCCGTCCTAGGAATCCGACTTTCGACGATAACGATACGGAACAGGTTGAAGGTCTAAAATGAAGACAAACTTTTAGAAGAATGCGTCTGACTTTTCACACGCAGGCGCCGCTGACAACAGAGAGCACAACAATTGTAAGGTCGCCAACAGCGACATTGGAGATATTCCTGGTTTCTGATGATCAAGGTCCAGGTTATGCATTACATATGGTAAACAGCGTGTTTGGAGACGGCGTGGGGAGAGGTACTACCCAGGAGCACTCTAAGAGCACGATAGGTACGGTGGTTGCAGCATCATGGTCTGAGCTGGCATAATACACAACAGGATAGATCTTATGATCTTGCAAGGGAACATGGCAGGTCAAAGTTATGTGTCCAAATTGTATGCCCAGTAGTCGCCCCATTTGCAAATCTCGTAGGTCAAACTTTGAGTTCCAGGATGACGACGCACGTCATCGAAGAGTTCGAATTGAAGTCGACTGTCTGAGGCAACAAGGTGTCACAACATTGCCCTGACCAGCCAATTCTCAAGACATGTCAACGAACGAACTCCTTTGGGATGTTCTGGGCCGAAGGGTTCGAACCTGACCTCAGCATTCCCAGAATTTCTAACAGCTGGGACAGACCTTACAACAAGAAGAAAGTATGCCACTTGAGACAATCCGGCGTTTGATATCCAATATGCCCCGAGGATGTGCGCCTGCATCGATGCTCACGGGTCATGGACCAGATATTGACTTTACTGTGAAGATTGAAATCCAAAGCGTGATTTAGATTTCTTTACATTTCCTTCCGTCAGATTACCTCCCGAAAATAACTACAGGGATACTGTTATCCTAATCGGCTCACCCGTCATGCCATGATAAGCTGACTCTTTAAAATGTTTACCTTTCTCACATATCCACATACTGTCCAGAAGATAATGTTTAGAACATGCAATTCAATCAATGCACCAATCCATCAAAAATCAATCATTCAATCAAATATGATCTGTTATGAGGCCTGAGTAAGACTGTCACCATGAAATTTGGAGACTAGTACACGTGACCAGTGAACAGTGTTGTCTTATGCTGTAGCTCTTGACGTGTGAGCTGAACAGTATTACAGTCATATTACGGATTGGGAGATGTGGGAGAAAAGCCCGAAGTAATGCAGGTCTTAGACGTTTAGTACTGCGATGAAACCCACGAACATGGGCATGGTGCTAACAGATCTAGAAACATAATCGGGACGAACCGGGATTCGAACCCACGATCATAGTTTTCTGGCCTGTCCAAGAGATGCAACTCTGCAAAGCGAAGTCGCCTTAGACGACTGGACCATCCGTTTACTTCTTGTGGTGAGAAGCTGATTATCCCTTGTCAATGAAGGCATAGCGCCGTAAGGGTACGCCATTATACCGTTCTCTTTACTATAATGAATCGCCCGCCTCAATGGTCTAGTGGTAGATCGTACGCCCGGAGAGCGGAAGGCCCAGGGTTCAATCCCCGGCCGCGTCATACCTGGTACTTGTTGTTACCCTGTCTGGCGCTCGGCATTAAGGGGCTAACACAAGGACTAGTCAGCTCGGAGTCAGTATACTGTGTCCGAGTGGGGTATTCATGTTAAACCGCGGCATGGTATCTCAGTGAGCTAGCACTATAAATCGGCATCAGTCTGGACAAGTACAAGCAGCCACAGTACCACCAACACGTGCATGCACGTCGCTTAGAAGTGCAATAATCTTGGACGCGACGTTAAACCCCATTTCACCTCACCCTATAATGAATCCATGTGGCCACGTCGCCTAAGGAGTTGCAATTCGCTCATCCTCGTCCCATACCCGTGTCAGAAACTTATGATGGAGTTCCGGTTCGCCCAAGTTTTTGTTTCTTGGTTTGTCAGCACCATACCCGTGCTCGTGGGTGTCACCAAAGTGGTAAATACATTGTCGAATCGAGCTTTCCTCCGACATCAAGCTTACACGTCATGTGCAATACTGTCCAAACAACCAAGCTCATTCACTTACTCTTTGGCATACATTGAACAACACGTTACTAAACTTGACATCCATTTATTGACAATTACATGAAGATTAAAATGACAATGGATATTGACATGTGTACAAATACATGTTTTAGAAAGGCCCGAGCAACGCGTAAAAAAATCAAAATCTACTAAACAACAAACGTTCCTGTGACATTGAATAAGATTTAATGCAAAGTTATGTTTTTTACCAAATCTGAAACAATTTCGGTTTGCAACAGATAGAAGACTCCTGTAAGTGTTCAAATGGTTTAATATGCCACACTGACTTCAGAAAATGCGTGATTTCATAAAAAAAACCAAAAAAACATGAACATGCCAAAATGTCAATTTACAAATCAATAGCGTGTGTCAACCTCTGGTTTACGATGCAAGCAACACATCTTCGTCTCATGGAATGGACCAGGCGTCGCACAAAGTCCTGTGGGATATCTGCTGGAGCATGTTTTCGAAGCGAGCCGGCCAGGGGATGACATTCACGTTGTTTTGTTGAAGGGAATTCTGAACGAGTCGAGCAATATGAGGCCGGGCGTTGTCATGAAAGGTAATGCCTGGGCCATGACGACGCAAAAACGGTAGAACAACAGGGCCGATGATCTCGTCGCGGTAGCGCTGTCCATCGAGATTCCCCTCTACCACTATCAAACGGGTCCTCTGTCTTGCTGTAATCCCACCCCATACCATAACGCTGCCGCCCCCGACACAATGATTGACGTAACGTTCACCTCGACGTCGGTACACTCGAATCCGTACATCGCTGTGGCTGAGGTGAAAACGAGACTCGTCAGTGAATAGAACTTGTCCCCACTGCATGGCTGTCGGCACCACTGTAGACGTGCTTGACGGTGGTTTCCTGTCAAAATGGGACGTCTAGAGGGTCTTCTGGCGACAATCCCTGCACATCTGAGGCGACGACGTACGGTTTGTGAAGATATTCGTCGAAGGCCAGGGATGCTTCTTGCAGTCACTGTTGCTGGCTGGAATTGATTTCGTCGGTGTGTTGTTCGAATCCAGTTGTCTTGTCGATTATTGGTGACGCGTGGCCTGCCACTCCGAGGATGGTCGCTGACTGCATTCGTCTGTTGCCAACGTTGCCATAAACACCAAATGGTGTTTCTGTGGACGTTAAATTATCTTGCAACATCACTTTGATTCGATCCTGCTTCAAGAATACCAGACGCTCATTTTCGGACAGACGCGGCTTTTCGTAATGTTGAATAATTGCGTAATTTTGGAGTTTTCTGAGTGGTTGTTGTCAACACTATGCTAAACAATGCATATGGAATCCCGTTAACGCACATGTTTTTATACCCATTCTTGGGAAGTAAAATGAATGGGGCTTGCATAAAAGTCAACTTTTGCATGGAATGCATGCTTTTCTGTTGCAGTTGCGTTTTTATGACTTGATTCCATACATGTACTACAATATTGAAAACCAAACTTGACTTGTTTGAAAACTACACTGAAATATTGGTGTCACAGGAACTTTTGTTGTTGAGTATATTTCATTTCTCATTTTCAGCATGGAACATGTCACAGGCGCTTTTATGAAGGCTATCGAGGAAGACTCCAGCAACGGTGTGATATTCATGGTAACAGCATCAGGAGGAATTCAGGCCGTTAAAACATCATTTAACGTTATCATCGTGGATAGCCAGTGAACACGAACATATGTGAATCGCCATGATGAAAGACAAATGCGTCCTCGGATTTGTGATGATTAGAGAAGAGTGAACCCTGAAAAAACTGAAAAATTCAAGATCCCACATGAACGATTTTGTTCCTCGTCTTTCGTTCACGTTTATATAACAACTTATCATTACATACACGTCCTGTGTGTTAAAACTATGTTTATAATAACACCTTGACTAATGCACTTGACAGATAACAAATAGCGCCGCGCTGAGGATCGAACTCACGTAGCCAATTTGTTAGGCAACACCTCACCATGGACCAAGGGCGCTATCACAAATTTAGTGTTCGGTTTTTTTAAAGAAAAGAACCCATTTTGTCTGCGAAACTCGAAACGTCATGTAAAATACCCATTGTCCTCACATTTCTTTGGATTATTTCGTTGAATACCTAACCCATACACTAACTCAGAACTTACGCTGAGGATCGTAACGGGGTGTTTAACTGGCACATGTTCCCTACCCTAAGTATCGTGAAGGAGTTCCTAACCCTAATGATCGTAACCGGGGGCTTCATCGAAAATGGGCTTCATCGAAAAGGGGATCCAAGGGCTTGGGATAGAGTGGGCGGTAGCCTACAAAAACCCTTACACAACTAACCCTAAATATCGAAGTGGCACGTTTGGTCTGTGAGAGCCACAGCTGCGCCCGGTAAACTGCAATGTTGCCGTAATATCAGTTATGTTTACCTTCATGATAGTTATCACAGTTGCAGTAATATATTTTGTTTGTATGTTTGTTGTTTAACGCCGCGCACAGTAATATCCCAGCTATATAAGGGCGGTCTGTAAATAATCGAGTTTGGACAAGACAATCCAATTATTGATATCATGAACATCGATCCACGCAATTAGGATACGATGACATGCATCAACCAAGTCAGCGAGCCTGTCCACCCACTCCCGTTAGTCGCCTCTCACGACAAGCATAGTTTTTTTACGGCAAGTATGGGTTGCTGAAGACCTATTCCGGATCTTCACGGGTCGTAATATATTTTAATAAAATCAGCACATCACATCTACAATGATCCTTCCTTAAAACAATTGATATCGACACAGTGGATTCAGTTTAAACAAAAAATAGTACTGTACAACTTGACATTTCATTAGAGGAAAAAACAAATACTACGTGGCAAGATATATAATCATTCACATGTATTTAACACTTCTTTATAAAAGTGTAAATTGTACAAAATAGTTGTTTAATGATATTGTCCTCTCCATCTGTATCCAGTTTGAATAAAGACAAAAGTTTATTTTGATTGCAATTATGATTTATCTTTTTCCGCTTTGTTCAATCCAAAAATAAGAATCTCAGAAATTACCTATCCAATATTGTTAAACCACAAATGCAATAAATTTGAACCATACATACTTGATGCCGTAACTATTTACAGTCAGAAATGTATCACATTTTGTGACATTTTAATTTCTCCATAGAAGAAGAAAATTGTCAGTTAATGTACGTATATACAACCCGAGTACAATGACACCTTGTTCATATGGACAATCACCAGTCAATTCGTCAAATGTCAGCAGGATCCTAGCTGTGAGTAATGACCCGTTAATTGTGTAGACGTAGAACTAGTGTCTGGAAATGCAGACTAACGACAATATTTCACTCTACATGAACCAGGCCGATGCATTGTGTGTTTTCCTGTGTCTTCTAGATGAAGACATCACCAGATTCCATCAAGTAGTGCCATTTCCCAACACTCCGTCCTTGACTTAAGAGCGCTTCTTGCCAGTGCAACCTCTCACTATCCTCTGTACTGTCATACCCGAGACGCACCTGCCCTAACATTTTATCATGGAATAAGAGTTCAACTTTGAATACAGAGACAGTGACACAAGTCGTCGTCAGATCGTCTAAATCGACCGATGGCAAATCAAATGTGAATGATTCATTAAACACGGGATAAGACGAGTTGTTTTGGTCTCGTGTTCGTTTTTGGATGACATCTCCAAATCGTTGTGACACATCCACTGTCACATAGGTATCTGAAAAATAGGGAAAGAGAACGGTTAAATGTTTATCGCATTTCAAGGCTGAAACCTCAAGTTAGTGTGAGTTAAAATGAGTTTAATCCATATAGCAACGAAACCACTGCCACAACACCTACATGACTAATGCTATTATATTAGAATAATGATATAACATAGCACTTACCACATGATTTGCCGGTAGAAGTAAGTCCCGTCACCCTCCCTATGTTCACTAGGAGTTCCTTGTGTCTGGTGTTTATATTCAGACTCAAACCGATGTGGCCGATATCTTCCTAACGAACAAAATAAAAATACATGAATTTTTCATATTTTCATTATTCAAATCACAAGTGTAATGTATACAGAAAGAATCACATTTACAATACATATCATAGTATAATTGTTAAGGTTGAATTACATATTATTACTGACGTGAAGTAATGTTGGTTGGTTGGTTGGTTGGTTGGTTTGTTGTTTAACGCCGTACTCAACAATATTCCACCTGTATGACGGCGGTCTGTAAATGATCGAGTCTGGACCAGACAATCCAGTGATTAAGTCATGTTAATACAGGTGAGCCAGAGACTTAAATGTAATAAGGTGTATTCAGATACTTACCTTCCTGTTCGTCTTTTTTTCAATGTTCCTCCATACTCGTGTCTCTGCAAGTATATCATACTTGCATAGGGCAACGCAGATTTCCCCAATGAATTCCTTTGGCTTATATGGTATGTTATTGTATATATTCAATTGAAGAGTCATTGCCTGAACATCCCTTAACTTGATGTTGGAGAAGAAAAACTCTTCGTTATAATATGGATCTTTCGTATGCTTTTGTTCCTTTGAAAACTCTTTTTGGAGTTTGCATGGCACCAAACAAAGCTGAACATATACATTCATATTGTAATCCGATGTTTTGTAACCACCAATATTTACACCTCTCAGTAGTACTACTTTTAACTGTTTTTTGTCGCGCAAGTATGTAAAATCAAACTTGAGTTCCCCAAGTTCTGCACGTAGTTTTGGGCTAATGCTTGAGGTAGAGATCGGCGTTGTGGAGCCGCTAGGGACTCGGCAAGGATTGGAACTAGACCCCCCGTTTAATGAACGTGTTTTGCGGGAAGTATCCAAATGAGTCCAAACATCTCTAGTGTCCTTTACTGAGTTGTACTTTCTGTGAACTTTGGATTTCACGGACTGTTTGGCAATGCTTTCCCCATCACTGCTGGAGATTGAATGCGATTTCTTGCTAATATCGCTCTTATCAGATTCCTCCGTATGTAGATGTGTCATGGATTCTATGCTAGGCAGTGAGGATCTCCGACGATATTGGTTCGGTGAACGTATGCTACAATATCGTCTCGGAAGCGGATCTTCTTCCATAAATTCAAATGATACCATCCGATGATGAATGGCGTCTTGCCTCGGAGGTGACATCGGTGGTTTTCTGTTGATCTTTTTCCTGTAAAAAGATCCTACCTGCTCTTGATCAAGCTGTCCAAAATAGACAGATGGAATATCTTCTATTGAAGGAAAGGAAGGAGATTGTGGATTTATGTTCAATGGAAAGTTTTCCAAATCAGTATCGTTGCCATCACAATCCTCATGTGTGCTTGATTGATTACATTCACGTGTCTTCCATGACTTCATACATGCTTTGAACTGGTTCTGCTTTAGGAGTTCCAGTTTAGATATGCCAGCAACTGCTTTCGTCTTCTTAGTTTCATGGCTATGAAATGCAAGGCCTGCGTTTAACACCAGCTCTTCCTCTACACAAAGATGTCTTTCCTCAGAATGTTGTGAAAGGGATACCAAATCTGGTATGACGAATGTAGGGACTGTTTCCGGTGTCAGGTATGGACCGTCACTTTGTTGATCTTCCTTGGTGAAGACTTGTCGAACATCTTTTCGAATCCCAAGTAATTTGACTTGACACCACCTCCTGAATTCTCGGAGTGAATCCATGTTGAAATCCTTAAACAATTAAGATGCAAATGAAATTGAAATGTGGTTCTTCAGTTCAGTTATGAGAATGGAAACGTTTTATGTATCCGTGCGTGTAACTGATTCATATATTATATACTGTACTTACAATTTGAACAGCTGGATCTTGATCATATGTGGAATTCATAAAGGACTTTGCATAAAGTAAAATGTTGAGATGCTATGGAATGACTCACCTGTGAAAACGGTCTGTGTCTTGTTCTACGACCCGGCCACTCAATGATACGTGTGATATATTCTTTCTCTTTTTTATAAGAGAAAATAGCTACGTCACACCACACCTCTGTATGGGTCGTCTCCTGTCGTTGTGTTGTGAAAAACATGTTTCACTGCTTCTTCACAGTATGTCACGGTCTTTAAAAACATTTTGACAAATACAATGGGAAACGATCTAGAAACACAGGGTAATATGACACATTATTATCCAGGTCTGTAGCACCTCGGAATGAACCACCTAAGGAAGTTTATGTGCCCGTTTTATACCATATACCATATCGTGCTGTCTGTAACTTCCTTGGCCAACATCTGCCTATTCTAGTGTTTTAAAATGCCTTGAAATTTATTGTTACATTAGACTGTCATATATTTATTTGATTGTTTGTTTGTTGTTTAACGGCACACTCAGCACTGTTTCTGCTACATGATGATGCTTTGTAAATAATCGAGTCTGGACCAGACAATCCAGTGATTGACATCAATTGGGATACTATGACATGCATCAACCGAGTCGGCGAGCCTGATCACACGATCCCGTTAGTCGCCTCTTGCGACAATCATCATCGCCCTTTAGGGCGGGCATGGGGTTGCTGAAGGCATATTCCAACCCGGATCTTCTCGGATTAGAAACTGACATGCAGAAATATTACCCCCCCCCCCCCCCCCCCCCCCGATGCACAGCCAGTTACAGCAGTATGAGACACAGTATTACTGACAGCCTTCCGAGTTTGTGACGGTGGCTAATCGACTCGATGTCAGATTACCTACACACTGAGATGTTTAGTTACATTAGAAGGTTTTCACCGGTAGATGAGGTCATCCAGAAGCTTCAACTGGCTGCGTAACGGGTGACGCACACTTATGATAGTATATTTAATACGACACTATGCAGACGTACACCGAGAGATATATTTCCCTGCGAGTAAAGTGATTCAGTGAGTTGAGTTTTATATATAGTAGTCATGTGGAGAATGGAACCTTGAGCGACGCTTTAAATAACCACACAAACGTTCACATGTCTTATCTGTTGAATCGATTCAATACTGCATGAAGCGTGTATAAAATAGTTCAAATTCGTCAAGGCGCATCACTGCGAAGGGATGTCATCAGTGTTTTTCGGCAACAAATCGGCTTTCTTGTTTCCGTGAATATAGCTGCACCAGAGGGCATTGTGAACTGTAACCAGTTATTAATAATATCAAATCGAAATCAAGTATTGTCGTAAAATGGTGGACCAGTACCCGCGGGACGTGCGTTCGAATTCCAGATTATGGTCCTTGGTTTGTCAGTACTTTACCTACATTGTAGGCTTGTGGTATGCGTATACGACCTGCGTCAATATATAATATACCATCGATGTGAACGACGGAAGGGCAAAACATGTGACTGGCAATATCTTGGTTAAGTCCAAGTTATATATGTATATACTTATATATTTATATTTACTGACGTGTTCATGTACTTTACGTGTATGGAGGATGAATAAAAGCTGTTTAATTAATTGCCATTTCGTGCCTTGGAATTGTAAGTTCACAATTCTGCAGACGCAGAGCTGGAAATGAAAAGAGTAATTTCCAACTGATACAATTCTATAGGTAAGCTGAGAATGTCAATACCAGGTAGTTATTGCGGAACATTCAAACAGCGACACTTTGTTTGGAAAGAACACTACTCGCATGATGTGTGGTATGGGTTGCTATACTTGTTAGAAAGTCTCAGAACACAGTGTCAGACGTATTTTTAAGGATAGATGGGACTAGATGATTACTGTAAAATGCACTTTCCCTTATCCAACCACGTCAACTCGAAGGGAATAAAAATACATGGCGAGTTACCTGGTGTTCGAAACGTTTGTCCTATTTAAAGATCATAGTTCCGACATGGATGCTGATGGCATGTTAAGCTTATGGACGTTTAATTGTTATATGTCAGTATTCTCTGTGAGTAGTACTCTCAAAATTTGACGCGTTCATCCCTTTTGTTAAAATTAAATTTGATACAAGGCGTAGAACGCCCATCATCTCACCTATACAATCCTTCACCATCTCACACTCACCTTTTCAATCGAAATAAAAACTGAATGAATTACACCGTATGGTTTAAACATTCACCATCCAGCATATCATCCAGAGTTGTATCTACACCCAGTCATATCTGTCGTTTTTAATGGAAAAATAACCTGGAAACAGCTTGAGTAAGTTCATAGTACATATCCCTTTCGCCAACATGAACATTTGAAAAAGCTCAGAAGTATTAGTTGAAACAGACACGATTGCATAAGGAATAAGAACTACGAGTACAACGCAACCGTTTTGGTGATATGCCCTACAAATATTGTCATTATGATAAAAGCAAAATTGGTGGAATAATTCAGACAAAGCTCATAAACTATATACGCGGTGTGTCTGAAAGATTTTGAGTCTAAATGGACTACTTTGATGGACATGCTTGCCGTAAAAGGCGACTATGCTTGTCGTAAAAGGCGACTAACGGGATGGGGTGGTCAGGCTCGCTGACTTGGTTGATGCATGTCATCGGTCCCAATTGCGTGGATCGATGTTCACGATATTAATCACTGGATTGTCAGGTCCAGACTCGATTATTTACAGACCGCCGTCATATAGCTGGAATATTGCTGAGTTCGGCGTTAAACAAGAATCCAACCAACCAACCAACTTTGATGGAGATGGTTCCTTATTATTTTTTAACATAAGGCCCTCAGAGGTCCACACACCTCTGCCAACGAGGCTGGATCCCAATGACATAGAAGGACTCCTTTTGGAGGAGTTAGAAGGAATCATTTTGGAGCAGTTAAAAGGCCTCCACATAATTTACATAAGGCTTGCCAGACAGTTATTTCTTCAAGTTTTGGAAGAGGTGGAAATCAATGATATCAAGATCACAACCACGGACTGCAGCCATTGCGACATCAGACTTGTTCATGGGTACATTCTCCTGATGGAAAAACACCCCTTTAGTTTTCCACGAAACGTTTAGACTTCAAGTTGATATTCTCATGGTGTTTCCCTTCCCCCCCAGACAACAGAAGCCACCACCTTGTCAGCTAATGGAACAGACTTTGCCTTCTTCATCGGAGTTATGTTACAGGTTTCCATTGCTCTGACTGTTGTTTATGTCTCTGGCTGATAGCTGTGAACCCAAGTCACATCCATGGGTTACATGATTACTCAGCAAATCAGCTGGGTCTGCTTCAAAATGACGTAAATTCACACGAGAGGAGAGTGACCCGAAGTTCCGAAACCTTAGTCGAGCCAAGTTCATTCCTCCGAATGTTCTCACCTCTCGCATGAGAGATGTCTATTTCATTGGCTGTAACGTGTGATGAATAGACGAACATCCATTATCATATCATGTGACATTTATATCATCATCGTTTTCCAAAGTGGTGGCAGACAAAGGTCTTGCAAAACTTAGATCATCTTCCATCTCTTATCTCTTGAACTCTGCTGCCTTCTTCTTAGAAATGGAAGGACCGTCATCCCTTAATGATGGCATAGAAGACTGTTAGAGTCTACCCTTTCAGTTGGAGCTACTTGACGACATGAGCGCAGAAGCCAGTTTTGTCCATTAACATCAACAGAAAATACCCAGTCACTGTTCAAATGCAGCCTAGACGCAGTAGAGTTTTGTACTTAATACATGCGAACTGATAAGGCTGACTTACAAATCCTTCGCATTTATGCTTTTCTACCATATCTCGTCCTTAAATTACATCTTTAGCAATCCATTTAGCACTCTACTGTGCTTGAAATCGGGACCAGCGATACTACTTAATCTAGTGTGAGGTCTGTTTTCTGTAGCTGGAAAGCAGGGTGCCGATATCAGACCAACGTGGTCATAATGGTTTGTAGATTTGATCATAAGATAACATTGTCTGTACGAAATATTGTGCTGACGGACACAAGAAATGCCAAATGGGAACCTTTGTCTGGTAATCTGAGTGGAGCTACCAATAATTATACCTGTAATAAATTCATTAACTGAGGTTCAAGTGAATGACAACAAATACACAGGTTATACCAGGAAACATGGATGACAACAAGGGTGTAGCAATCGCATTATCCACACAATCCAAAATCCGAAAATGCTTTCACTTCAGGGATGCATTTTATTATTATTAAATTCTAACCATCAGGGGTATTATTATCCCTCGCCACGATGTGGAAGGGGGATATTAGGAATGGGTGCCGTCCGTCCGGTCTTCCGTCCGGCCGTCCTTCCGTCCGTCGGTCACATTTCGTTTCCGGAGCAGATCTTGAAAACCGTACCATATTTCTTCACCAAACTTGGCGCATAGATAGATCTAGTGGTGAACTGGTGCCTTTTGATAGTTTGGGATTTAAAAAAAAAGAAATATCGAGTTTCCATGGCAACGACTTTGATTTAGACTGAAAATGGCGGTAGTCCTCGTTTCCGGAGCAGATCTTGAAAATCGTACTATATTTCTTCATCAAACTTGGCACATTGATAGGTCTAGTGGTGAACTGGTGCCTTTTTATAGTTTGGGATTTAAAAAAATAAATATTTTTCGAGTTTCCATGGCAACGACTTTGATTTAGACTGAAAATGGTGGTAGTCCTCGTTTCCGGAGCAGATCTTGAAAACCGTACCATTTTCCTTCACCATATTTTGCACATTGATAGGTCTAGTGGTGAACTGGTGCCTTTTGATAGTTTGGGATATTTAAAAAAGATATTTTTCGAGTTTCCATGGCAACGACTTTGATTTTGACTGAAAATGGTGGTAGTCCTCGTTTCCGGAGCAGATCTTGAAAACAGACCATTTTCTTCACCATATTTTGCACATTGATAGGTCTAGTGGTGAACTGGTGCATTTTGATAGTTTGGGATTTTTTTAAAAAGTTATTTTTCGAGTTTCCATGGCAACGACTTTGACTTACACTGAAAATGGCGGTAGTCCTCGTTTACGGAGCAGTTCCGAAAAACGTACTATATTTCTTTACCAAACTTGGCACATAATGTCATCTCCCAGTATTGAATATATTTCATTTCTTGTTGTTAAGTTCTGCACTGCTTGAGCGTATGTTCCTCCAAGAGTGTCATGGACACGGTTGTTGCATTCACTGACTAACTTCATACAGAAACACAACTCATTACAAATACAACAGTGTAACTGATCTTAAACCTACTCAACTGTATAAACAATATATATTCTTGTCAACCATACTCTGTACTTCACTTGCTTGATAATGGTGTTAGAACCTACACCAAAACCATCGCTCCTAATTGTAATAAAGAAGTTGTTCGTCCATATGTCTCATCCTGACTCATTACAAATTCAGTAACATATTCTATCATAAACTGCAGATGGAAAAACAACACCAGTAATAACATTTTTTTAGTGCTGCAATTAGGCAATTTACAAAAAGGCCCAGTGAACATAGTTTACAGGAGCTAATGTATTGCACACACCCGACATGTCATATTGGCGGGGGATGTGAGTATTTCATGCTTGTTTAAACAAGAACATCCGTGAAGCTTCGGCTTCCACCGTTCTTTTTGTCCGTTTGTTTAGGCTGAACATGCGCCCTTTTTTGAAATCTTTATTCATAACGGGTAACCAATCAGTGCTTAAAAATTCGTAAGCCGAGAAGAAGTCGGAGATTAGTGCCCCTTTAAAGAAATGCCTGTAAAAGATAGTGAATTGATGAGTAAAATCCTGTGGTGCCTACAACGGTGACGATTGGTCATTGGGGACACACAGACGGGTCGACTTAGCCACCACAATTTGTCTTGCAAAGTTTGTCTTTAGTTGCTAGAGGTCCTATAGGCCTTTGAGTTCGAAGCCCAGATTCTCCCTGATGATGATCTAGGTCTGTCAGCATCATACCCGTGCACATCGGTTTCACCAAAGTGGTTAAAAACCTGGACTAGAATTGGTTCCAAGCAACATACATGTATACTCGTCGTAAGAGGCAACATAATAGGTAGGCAATAAACCACCCACTCTCATCGATTGCATTTCGACAACATTTTGATTGTGAAGCGTCACTAAATGGTCGGTAGTGGCGAGAAATATAAGTACCAAACATTTCCATAATGATAAGAAATAATAGTCCATTGTACGATTCCAAGAGGTATCTAGAATGCGACCTCGTCGCAACAAAGGGAGCGATAGCATTTCTTTTTACGGTTAGATGCATTTAAACTGGTTACATGAATAATTAAATTATCAATGCATGAAGGAAAGGCATGTTGGTGTGTCATTTGTGTTTAATATCAGTGTACATCCATGGACATATTTGCATGATGAATAAAAGAATAACGATTAAGAGGATGAAAGAATGAATATATACATTGATTAAATAAAAAAGACATTGTCTGAAGAGACGTGTAATCAAGGGTTTACTTGAATTTACTTGATTATTTTTTAATTCAACAATATTACCACTGCAACTTCATGATCAAACCATCGGGTCACACCAATACTTTCTGCATTGGTCGAATAGTAAGCGGAACAGAATCCTTACACGAATTTATTTACCGACATGATTTCATCTGCAAAAAATCCAAACAAATTCAAAATTTATAGAAAACAGCTGTTCGATTGAGCCGGGGTTATCTTGGGCTACATGTATGTCACGTGACGTTCATTGACTAGGAAAAAGCTTCGAAGCGGGGTATAATGAATTCATTCTTCCGCTCAGTAATTCAAGTGCAACGTGTTTTCTTCGTGGCGGGGTATAAGGGAGTTATTCTCCCCATGAGAAATTTATTTCCCTCCCAGGCGGGATACATAGTATTTTATCAAGATCTCGTGAACAAATAAGGTCTCATTATTATGCCTTGGAAGTATGATAATAAATGTCCGTGTCCAGTGGCAAACGCATAAGTCACTTTTATATAAGGGCACGATTATATTACATAGCAAGCACTGTGAATTGTGTGCCATAGCAAGTATGACATCCTGCAGTTGAGTGATGATCCCAGTGATGATACAGAAGCATATGGCAGTTCAAGATAGTGCTTGTAGCCGTCATAAGATAGAAAACTGAATGTACTGTTAACAATATCTATTGTAGAAAAATAGGAGAAAGCGGTATCATAAACCTTTGATAAACGATTCATCGTCATTTGGTTTAACATTAATAGTATTCCTCCGCAGATTCCATGATGTAATGCCAACGACTCACATCACAACCCATGTTCTGTGTAATCTCTCGCCAATGGAGAATCTCACTATCTTCTGTTGCATCACACCCGAATCGCACTTGGCCTATTACAGTGTCGCTTCGAATACGGTCATGGTCCAAGACTGTGAGACAGACCGACATACAACGTAATATATCGGGCCTGATGCTGCATATGTCGAAAGTCAGCGCTTCCTTGAACACCGGATGTGACGCCTTGCGCCGAATGCGGGTCTGCTGTCGTGTTGGTTCTTCACCCGGCTGACTAAATTCAACTCGCACATAGGGATCTGAAAAATTGAAAGGTTTTTTGAGTCTGCAGTACATGGTTTCAGAAAGTGTTGTTCGGCATTCACTGTCTTAATACAAACTGCGTCAATACAAAATGTGTCGCACATCAACAGTATACATCAAATATCAATATATCTTAAGGAACATATGTCACTTTATCTCCAGTAGTTCACCTCATCGTCATGTCACTAACAGTGTGTACAATTGAGTGAGTATGGTTTTAGGCCGTTTTTATAATATTCAAGCAGTATCTCGGCGGGGGACACTAGAAATGGGCTTCACACATTGTGCCCATGTGGGAATCTTGACTAGCGAACGCTTTCACCACTGGGCTACCCCGCCGCTCAAGAGTTTAGGAGAACAGCAATGGGTTGAGTGAGCATGTTTAACGGCTCTTTAAACAGACTTTCAGTTATATTTTTACATACCAGTTTCCTGAGGGAGGAAAGTCCGAAGTGATGCATGTTGTAGACGTTTACCACTTTGTGAAACCCACGAGCACGGATATGTTACAGATACACCAAGGATCATTATCAAGAAGAAACTCGAGTGAATGGGTTAAATTTTAAGTCACGGCGGCAATATTTCAGCCATAATGTCACTTCACTGTGATTCTTTCATCACACGGGATACAAAACGGAGGATCCTCACCCTTTAATAAATATTCATGGGTATATCAGCCGCGGCTAATACGGCATCGTCGCATAATGACCTCATCAAATCTGCACCGAAAATCCAAATAGGTGTATCCAATTTTTGGTTCATGTAATTTGTCTACTTGGTGTCTCACTTCTTTTGCATTTGATCACGGATGTAAGATCGATTTACAGGTTTAAGATCATTGCATGGTAAAAGAAATGCTGTCACAGATTTGCTGAGTGCTGAGTTTGCTGCAGCATCGGCCATTGTGTTACATGTTATGTCCACATGACTCGGAAACCAACAAAAGACGAAGTCGTATTGGCCAGTTGAAAGATCATTGTATAGTTCTAAAATATTTAAAATATTTTGATAAATCGACGAATCATTATTCAGTGCTTGAAGACAAGAAAGAGAATCAGAAAAAATGATAAAGTGTTTACATGAAAACTGTCGTTGAATATATACCATGACTGTAAGGATAGCATTTGCCTGAGCAGTAGAAGTAGAGCTATTGTCTTGTGACATATAATTTTGATTTAATTCTTTATCCAAGGACAGTGTCACTTGCTACTTTGTCTCCGTCCTTGGACCCATCAGTAAAGATTGATCGACGAATATCAAATATATTTCTTAATTGAACATATTCCTGTTCATACGCTAGTTAGTTTGTGTCAGATTTTATAAACCGTGTCAAGAAAATGTCTATTAGTAGCCTCACCAACTGCCATGGGAGGAGGAGTCAAAAACCGATAAGGTGATTTAATATTCAGATCTAGATTGGCAGCACTAAGATGGGATTTGTTCCCGAACGAGGAACGAGCTTTGGTTTCTTCTGAAACAGTTGTTCATAGAAGGGATTAAAGACGGAGCCAGAAGCAGGATTGGAGGGATTTGATGGTAATTTAGAAATATTTTGAAGAGACAATTAAGTCCGGCGTTGTTTTAAGGACGGTTCATCAGCCTCCGCATAGAGAACGTCAATAGGAGATGTTCGAAAGGCAACAAGACATAGATGATCGATTGAATCTACTTTTTGAAAATTACTCCTGCTAACTCCAGCATACACAATTCAGCCATAGTCTAACTTAGACTGGATAAGTGATCTATATAAGTGGTGGAGGGTTGTCTGATCCCCTCGCAATTTGTGACGACTTCCGGCAAATCTAGGGCCTTCGGGCATTTAGTCTACAGATACATGATAGGTGGTAAAAACGTCAAATAATTGTCGAAAATTAATCCCCGAAACTTGACTTCTTTTACTATCTTTATTGGAGGGCCGTCTGAAAATAGTTCGGTGTCTTTATGGGGTTCATATTTCGACACAAATGTATACAATTTGACTTGGTCTGTGAAAATTTAAAGCCATTGAGACACAACTGTAATTTTCGTTGGTATGCATATTTTTACCTCGACGTGAAACTGTGATTCGAACCCACGATCATAAGACCATGGCACGCCCAATCAATGTACATGTCACTCGGCTATTAAGGGGGCTGGGACACTCCTGCCTCGACAAGGTAAGTACAGAAGAGCCTACAATAAGTGAGATGCTTATGGTTCACTACATCTGTGTCCTAAGTTTACATATAGACGTGTCGCGCATGGAACACTAAAGTATTTGTCCGGTGAGCGACAGAGACCCCGTGTTTCAGAATTGTGAGCAATTACAAATGTCAAAAGTAAACTGCCCTCGGTGACCTGCGCCTTGAGCTATTTGCCTCGTTAGATGCCCTATTAACGCGACAACTGTCTGGATCATTATCCTGAGGACGAAGCGAAGGCAAGGTACTTTCTTCCGTCCATGCCTTTCATTAGTTTGGACAGGCATGGCCTTAATCATCGCGACGTAGTCATGAAATAATTTACTGGATCTGCCTCAGGTGACCTTATGTACTTACGCATGTTTAAATTATACATGGTTCAACAATGACGTCCTATGATCGATTCAATCTGCGAATGGACATCCAACTATTGATGCAGCATTATGTATAATTCACAGAAAATACTAGAAAATAACATTACGCCTCAGAATTTGCAAAATATGATTTTAAATTATGTGTTTATTACTGGATAAATAATGTCCATATCGTGAATGAAAGAATATTTCATCTCTAACACCCAACCCTGCCGTGCTAATTATTCATTTCAAACCTGTTTGATATTGCACATTAAAGAGGCGTGCGGTGGTTACACGCAATGTATCGATGAAGCCATTCCGGTTAGTTGTCAGAACCCACTAGAGCCTTCTACGTTGTAACCAGCTTTGGACTTCTGTTACACCCAAAGTGGTTAACTTACAACTAATGTTCGCATCTCTTTGGGCTAACGTGGCTAAACTTGACAAGATTTGATCTAAAGTTCACTTAAATTGATAGCGTCACTGCCAATAACGGTGCTATTCTGCCCTAGCATTACTACAGGGTATTGCCCAAAGACATAATCAACCTTCAAATTTCACAGATTCTTAGTAGGTTTATCCTTGCTCAAAGGAGTACGGAGAGGTATTCCCAATCTCTACACTCACAGATGACAGTTAATAATGTAAAATCTCACAATTAAGGCAATGTAGGATGAAATCGTAGCTTCAGGGCAGACCGTGTTTCAGGTCGTATCTGCTGTAAACAAACCAAATAATTCGTCATGGATAATTGTTTGGTGGTACTGGAGGCAGTGTTATCAATAATTGTGCCTCTGGTGCCCAGCACCAGGATGGATACAGCCTCACCAAGGTTAGAAAGACTCACTTCCATAGGATTTGAACGTTACAAACGTCCATCTAACCTGAACAAGATATACACAACGTGGGAAGAATCTCTTTATCTCCATATCTCTGTGGCATCGATTTTTATTTGCTGATGGTCTTACTCGACAGGCTGACAAACGGACAGATCAAACCGTGGACAAATGTGATTCGTGCATGATAGCAAGCGAGGTATTATCTGTGTTTTTCAGATTTATAAATGATCCCGTTCTCAAATTAATGAGAAACCCACATATGTAACAAAGGTAGAGGATAGAGGATAGTTCATAGAAAATGAATTATTTGAGATTTGGAAAAGAAGCCTTTGTCAAAAAAAGCTTTAACACATTATATTATTTCATCTTAATTTGTTTACCTCCGTCGTCAGCAAAACGTCCTATTAATAATTGAGTTTCTGACCCGACAAACCAATGATTGATTTTATGAGCAAGGTTCGTGTGGAGTATTGAATAGTAAGCATAAAAAATATCGTTCGTTGCCTTGTTATCTCGTTGCACTAGAATCCCCATATGACTTATCCACATGGAGGTACATGGGGGTAAACAATTGCAGGTACATTTCTGGTTCGGGAATATCATTTATAGAATAGCAGTAAGATCACATTTGGGCGATTGAACACGATTTCTTGGAACGAACGTGTCAGCGACATTTGCAAGCATTGTAACACGCATACCGAATTGTTTACCTCAAGGCAAAATAAATTAAGTGATCTCTTGATTCTTGGCCTCTAAATTCCTTTCGGCAGATTGCGTGCCTTGGTTAGAACTGTAATATTGTGACATTTTGCCAGAAGGGAGGCTCTTGTTTTTAAGCCAGGAATGGATTTCTCGCTATTCAAAGCTGTCCTTTCAGATTCTCCGAGAGCGCTAGTTAGCAGCGTGAGGTATTATTTGTCCAGTAATTGTACATCAGAAAAATGTCAAATGCAAACACCATGAAAATAATCATTATCTGTACTGTGTCCCAAAAAGATTTTTGTCACATATTAACAAGAAATTTTGGTATGACATGGTTATATACTGTGAATAGAGGTCTGCTTGATATAATTCTTTGATAGATTTATTGTCAACAAAGTGAGAGCTAAGCCCAAGCCGGGAACGATGAGGGATGAGATCTGTTCGTGTGTGCACATCTACTGTTCCGGACGAGCATATGACCATGACGAGATTATTCCAGACCGAGTGCTCAATTTCGCGATCATCGAATGGTAGGTTATTATACTACAAAGGTATTCATGATGTAAATCACTGGATTGTCTGTCTCCAGACTCGATTATTTACAGACCGCCGTCAAAAAGCTGGAATATTGCTGAGTGCGGCTAAAAAACAACAACCCAAACCAAAATACTCCAAAGTTTGGATCTGACACACATACATCAAACATATATAACGCCTATGAATGTACATTCCTTTGTCTCGAGAAGCAGCTGTGGTATCAGTATGAACCATGGAAATCCAATATGATTCCTTCATTTTAAAATGACCTGGTTCGAGGTTTAATTTCCCTTGGCTGTAAGTGGCACCAGCGTTCATCAAATTCAGCAGGGTCTCCCCGGGCAACAATACAGACGTGATCCATCAGTAATATGTCGCCTCAATTGCTCTCGACAATTTGCAAGGCCGTACTTAGATGTCCCTTGAACTCACAAATGTCTGTTCAGGGACTAGACCGACTTATGAAAACAGGAAACGATTTCAAACCAACGCGTAACTTCCTTACTAACAGCATGAACCTCCGCTCTTTATAACCTGTTTCATTCGAATTCATCAACCACCTACTCTGAATATTAAGGAATATCAATACCAGTTCCAGGATGTGTGACCTTCCAATGGAAGCCCAACTGATGATTGATTTGATGTCAAATACATAAATGATCGGAGAAGAGGAAGGTGTGAAAGCAATATATGAGTATACAAAATACCGTAAATATGTGTATCAAACAAGATAGCAACATATAATCTAGTACTCCAGAGATTGGCATTAGTAACGAGAAGGCCCTTCGCAAACAATGTGCAAAGTATGGTTTCTTTAGGGCATCAAGCTGTGCTTGCACTCGCAGGTCTTATGGGGGTCAATACAAACATTGTAACACACCACGTCAAAACACACCAGTTACTGCACTCATACATACATTGTTAAAAAGGCCACCACAAGATGAAATAAATAATTTATGTTACCAAAATAATATGTCGCCAGTAACTCTAAGTGTGCCACTACCTAAAATAATTAAGATGCATTAAGTAGCTGCATTACTTGAGTAATCTCTAGTACAATCTACAGCGCATCCTCGTTGTTCATCAGTCGCGTGTCTCACATGATCACGCCATTTTAGTATCTGGCGTCAGTCGTTATATTTGTTGGTTAATTTCTCAAAAGTAGTTGAAATAAAGCGCCGACAGCTTCATATCCGGGGATTGCTGACAGAGGATTGGGCGGATAATCGAGATTTGTTATTCTCTAGCGTTGACATTCTGTAAGAAAATCTTCAAGAAAATAGTGAAAAAAATATAAATTGGCCTCAGGTTTTACCCCAAAAGCACATTATTTATATGAAATGCTGGATGTCTTAAATAAATATTATGTGTTCGAATACGGCTCGTCCTTTCAGAGAATAAACATGTTTATTACCTACGGTTGCAAACATATCAGGGTTCATAAAAACCGTATGTGCCCTAGGGTCATTTCACGTCACGAGAAAACAGTGTATTGTTTCCGTCATCTGGACGGCATTGTTGGCGTCATTCGAATCTTAATGTTACACAAGATTGGAATGACGTCACACTAGTAACGACGTCATAGCTGATGATTGTTGACGTCATTCGACAAATTGTCGTTCCGCTACTGTTTCGACTTGCTGTCCTTATCGGTAAACACTAAAACTCCTCTCTGTATATAGACATCTTCTACGGTAACAAAAGAACATGATATGAGTGTTCATGTCATACTATGTGTACGACATTTGTGCCTAAATTCCGGTATTTCCCGAAGCGAGGGAAATGCCGGAATTGAGACACTCGTGTCGTAAACATAGTATGACATGAACACTCATATGATATCCTCTATATCTCTTGAACTGGTTACCAAAAATGTATCCTGTTTTTAAGTGACATCTCAAAGATGACCCTGATTTGTACGCTGACAGTAGCTAGCCTTGTGGGAGTTTACATGTCACGCAATTTAACCAGGGTTCGATCGATTGCCACAATGGTACTATTGTGATAAATACGGTAAGATTACTTTGGTTTTGCAGACAGTGAAGTAAAATCCTGAACATACCCTCACTCTTTACCATAAAGTCAGCTGGAACAACCCATACGGTGTTTTTTCACCTCTATTTTGGCTTTTGCACCCGATGATTGACGTTGGCGTTTTGTGTTTATAGATGGATTTGAATACATTGGCTGTGAAGACAGTCCCGCGATTCAGTCTGTATCAAATAGGTCAAATATTAATGTCCATAATGTTGACTGGGAAACAAATGCATGTTCTAGTCAACCTGAAGTATACTTAATCATGCACCAACGTTTACAGTCAGACAAATCTGACTTACAAAGGTCACTCCCATCAGATTTAGGTTATTATTGCTACGATATTAAATCAAACCTAAGGTAGGTATCACTGCAAACAAATGCCGGTGAGTTTCGAAAGCCAACGACAGCTCAGTATGTGAAGGGGCCAAGGTCACACGATGGTGCCAAAGCACAAGAGTACATGCATGTCAACAAACCCGTAGGGTGTTTTTCTCTTATTTACCTGGAGGTCCTGTGATTTGGTGATGAGGGAGTCGTGTTGCTTGACCAATTGTCACCTTCAGCTGCTTTTGTTGGTCATCGATTTGCAAGGACACTTGAAGATGACCGAGATCCTCCTAGGAATTGAGACGAGAAATCAACAAAGTTTCTCAGCTATTTCATCTGTTTCATCTTTATACATCTTAAGAATGATATGTGTTAACAAAAAATGCGTCTCATATAGAACAGCTTATCATGGCCATTTACAACTCAATTCTACCCATTCAAACAATTTTCCAGAATTTAAAAATTGCCTTCCAGGAATAACATATAATTTCAATGATCAATGGTTTTTCAGTCCTTACTAAGATCATGTACATGTGGTTCTCAATCTGCTTTTCAATAAGGCTTGCAAAATATTATTTTTTATGTTGTTAAAGTAGTCAATGTAAAGAATGATGAATGTGAACGTTCCTTCTTATAAACGACACACACGAATGAATTACCTCGCCTTCTCGTTTAGGCTCGATGTCCCGCCACATTCGATTTTCTTGAAACAGATCGAATTTCCCAAGAGCCATATTAAGTTCCCCCAAATACTCATTAGGCTTAAGATGTCCTTTATTGTAGAGTTTTATTCTTAGGGTCATCTTCTGCAAGACTTCAAACGATACATCATTAAATAAGATCTCTTCGTTGAAAACAGGGTCTTTGGAGTGCTTAGTGATTTCCGATGTTTGTTTCTGAACCTTGCCAGGCATAAGGTACAGCTTAGCAAACACATTGAGATGGCAGTCAAGTCGATGATGGCCGCCGAGGTTCTCTCCTCTTATCAATACAACTTTCAGTTGTCGTGTATCAGGCAAATAATGAAATGCAAATTTAAGCTCTCCAAATACCGGTTTCTGTTTCAATGGGAATGAGCTCCCAGGCACAATGAGACTGTTTACTGAGGACGATCTAGCTTGACCGTCGTTGAAGAAAGGGTGGGGAGTGGTAGTGGGGGAAAAGTCAGGCGAGGAGTGGCGTTTAGCTGTAGATCGATCTTTCGGTGACAGGTATGTTGTTCCTTTGCTTTGACATGTTGGAATATTTTCGTTTGAGCTACTCTCCTCATTTGAGTCATCCATTCCATCACTAGATTTGGACTGTTCAGCTAATCCAGGTAAAGAAGACCTTCGCCTGTAGTACTTCAGAGATCGTCTGCTACTTTCCCTCCTCGGCAGATTGTCCTCATCCACACACGCAAAATTCACAACAGTAGGCCGAATACTATGATCCACAGAGTTCCGCTTTAGATCCTGAAACATGGGTCCACACGGTTGGTCCAATGAAGCTGCCTTTCGGAATCCAATAACTGGCATAAAATGTAAGGATGATAAATCTCCTGTGTGAAATAAAGACTCCTTTCTCCTTGTGTGGGGAACTTCTTTCAAAGTCGAAAACCCGAAGGACGTATTTGTCTTGAAATGAGATAGACTCATTGCTGCTTTCGACTGCGGATCTGCATTCGTATTAACATCCACGTACACAATATTTGACAAAGACCTTGCTCCAAATGCTTCAGCTATACGTTTGCTCTCATGTCTAGGGGAGACAGGGGCAGACCGAATATGAACTGGACTCTTGCTTGTTGGTACACCCAGCCCCGAAAAAGAACCTCTTGGGGATATTCCTGGACTTGTGTGAGCGGAACAGGGAAGGCTATTCTCACTCGAGTGACTAAATAGTTCGTCATCGTTGGATATAGTGCCTATACTTGGGTGGCGTGAAGAGTCGTTGGATCCAGGAATGACAAACTCTGGTATTGTCTGGGGGGTAACTATGGATCCAAATGATCCCGAACTTTCTCTACCCGGTGGTGAGAGAGGCACTTGAACATGGATATTAGGTATTCGACATTTGTTGATCAACCAGTCTTTTATGTCTTTAATTGACGTCATGGTTCATTCCTTCGTTTATACTAGCATCTGAAATAGAAATAAAAAGTTTCAAAGAAAACAAGCGTATAGTCGCCGAAGTTATCTATATCCCCCGCCCATTTTAACACGTTATGGTCCCAAACCAGGTAACTGACCCAACATTTCTCTTACCCATGTCAAAATAGCTGCAATTGAAATTCTAAAATATACATTTCTAAAACTCCTTAATATCAAATGGCACCAGTTCAGTATGTGCTTTATGTATAGACATGCAATGTTTGGCAAGGATATTTTGGCAATTTAACAGTTTATTTGTTATACCCAGTAAGTGAACCCACCCTATATTAAAACTTAAATCCAACTTGTTGTCATGGAAACATAAGCAATATAAAATTCTAAAAGTGCTAAATATCAAAAGGCACCAATTCAGTATGTGCCTGGTAGACATGCAAAGTTTTGTAAGAAAGTATTGAACGGATTTTGAGTTACGCTCCGGAATCAAACTCTACCCTATAGAACCTAAGTCCAACCTAAGTCCTGGAAACAAAAAATATAAATTTAGAAAATTCCTAAGTAGCAAAAGGCACCAGTTCAGTATGTGTCTGGTAGACATGCAAAGGTTTGTAAGAAAGTATTTGACAGTTTTTGAGTTACCCTCCGGAAATGAACACCACCCTTATAGAACCTTAGTCCAACTTGCCATGGAAACGTAAAAAAATTTTTTTCTAAAATTCCTAAATAGCAAAAAGCACCAGTTCAGCATGAGTCTGGTGGACATGCAAAGTTTCGTAGAGAATATTTAACGGTTTCTGAGTTATGCTCCGGAAACGATTTCGGGACGCACACACGCATACACGGACGCATAGACGGACGGACGGAACCCATTTCAATATCCCCCGCCATAATAATAATAAACGGAAGTGAATGAATTGAAACAAATCACCTACATTTCAAATTGTATGTAAGGATTTAGCTATCGAAATCTTATCGTATAACGTAAATATGTATCTAGAGCTCACACAACGTCTGATTATATGCTATGATGATGACGGTTTACACGCGTGAATGCGATTGAACCTTAAAGCATACTCATAATAATAAGACAAATACAAGTTAGCTTCCAGTGGCCAAAAAACACATGAATGGTTACCATTTCTGTCAATGAAAGAACGATATCATGTAGTATCAAAGAAGGCGCGGACGGCGTTCGCATTGTCTGTGACTGCTCGATTAACAGCTACAAAATCTGCCCACAAGCAGGTGCTTTCATTCAACTGTTGACCGCCTCCGTGGTCTAATGGTAGAGCGTCCGCCCGGAGAGCGGAAGGTCCGGGGTTCGATCCCCAGCCGCGTCACACCAAAAGACGTTAAAAGATGGTACTTGTTGTTACCCTGTCTGGCGCTCGGCATTAAGGGGCTAAAACAAGGACTGGTCGGCTCGGAGTCAGTATACTGTGTCTGAGTGGGGTATTCATGTTAAACTGCGGCATGGTATCTCAGTGTGCTAGCACTATAAATCGGCATCAGTCCGGACTAGTACAAGCAGCCACACACACACATACACATACACAAATCCCATATCACCTCACCTTATTCAACTGTTCAGACGCTGTATGTCTACTTGAGTCATTAGATATAACAAACAGCAGCTTGTAAACTGAGTCATAACAACATATGGCGTAATACGATAATAATAGAAGTCAGTGAGGTAAACGTCTGGAGCAAAAAGGAAATTGTTGAAAGCATCTGCGTGTCTGTATCATATCTTTGAATGCAATATATGGTATATGTGTCATACAGTGACTCTCCTAGATGTCTAATAGGGCGTTCGGGGACAGAACCCTGTGGTGATTCGGCGTTGGAATAGGTCCCCAGCGACCTATTTTGATTGTAAGAGTCGACTCACGGCATCGAGTGGTTGACTGTGTGTCATTCCGTCCCGTAGGCGTTGGACGTTGCTCAAAATTATCACTGGTTTATTTGGTCTCGACACGACTGTTTACAGGCCACAGCCATGTAGCTGGTGTGAGTGACTGAGTGAGTTGGGTTTAACGCCGTCTTTAACAGTATTCCAGTTGGGGAGGATATGTGGGAGGAAAGACCAAAGTCATGCAGGTCTCACACGTTTACTACTTCGGTGAATCCCAAGAGCACGGGTATGGTGCTGACAAACCTAGAAACATACTAGGGGCGAACCGGGATTCGAACCCACAGTCATAGGTTTCTGGCGTGTCCTAGGGACGCAACACTACACAGCGAATCGCGGTGCCTCAGACGACTGGGCCTCCCGTGCTGACTTGATTGATGCATGTCATCGTAACCCAAGTGCGTTGATCGATGCTCATGTTGTCAATCTCTGGATTATTTACAGACTGTCAACATGAAGCTGGAATATTGGGGTGTGCGTTAAACAACAAACAAACAAACAAACAAACACACTGATGTTTGCTTCCATGTGAGGATCCCGACAAAGTACCCCTTGTCTCAAGAACCGAGAAAAAATGTTGACTGGATGTCCGAGTGTTTGCCCTGACTGATTACGTGCCATGTCACCTCGACTGCATGGATTGTTAACGACGTTTTTAACAACTGAACATGGTTTATCTCATGCCGAGGCGAGTATTTTCATGCTGCCGTAATTTTTTTTCAACCTAAAACAAAATTGTTAAAAGGAAACACAAAAAGTAGATTCCGTCATTGTCAGGATTGCCAATACATGCTGACATTTGCAATAAATTGACAAGTAAAGCCACCTTAAGCATTTTACGCTGAACCACAAAAATGACATAATTTTACATTTGTTTTCAGTTTGACTCTGGTATTAAACACTCTGTCAATTGCAGAACTGTCAGTTACTTAACACGATTGCATATAGCAGTCTTCTCTTTCTTTAATTACTGCAAAATCTTGGATCAATCGCTGTTTTCGTAGTTTTGTATTATTGATTCCTTCGTTTGGTGGACATGAAGTAAGAAAAAGGAAACTCAATGTCATTCAACATCGGTATTTGTTTCATCGCTATTGGAATCGTCTGCAAGCTTGATATTCACATTTTGTATTCAGGTAAGCTGCAGCTCGAAGAGAAGGATATGACAAACCTAGTTGTTCAGTAAAGAAACACTATATTACACATTATAGGCATACCCTTTGGGTCAATAGTGTTGGTTTCTTCTTCAAATGCAACTGACAACTGATCTTGGTGCTTATTACTGACATTTGTTCGTGCTCATTCTCGCATCACGAGAGACCTCAACTTGGGCTTTGAAGTCGATAGCGCATATAACAAGGAACTCTAAGAAAACGGTCTCCCTGATAAAGTCGCAACAAGCTAAAATCGTGTCAGAGGTCAGAGTACGATGCCCCATTCCTCTGTTTACAGTAGAGTGAGTGAGTGAGTGAGTGAGTGAGTGAGTTTGATTTTACGCCGCTTTTAGCATTATTCCAGCAATATCACGGCGGGGGACACCAGAAATGGGCTTCACACATTGTACCCATGTCGGGAATCGAACCCGGGTCTTCGGCGTGTTTACAGTAGAGACCTGACAGTGTCAAATGTACAGAATGGCTCTGTGGGTGTGTAAATTATAGAAATACATACATGACCCTATTACTGCTTCTCAAAGTGATAAGAACGCGCAAGCTTATTGTACATAGCGACGTGCATGCACGTGTGTGTGGCTACGTGTGTGTGTGTGTGTGTGTGTGTGTGTGTGTGTGTGTGTGTGTGTGTGTGTGTGTGTGTGGGCTTGTACTAGTCCGGACTAATGCCGAGTTTATAGTGCTAGCCCACTGAGATACCATATCGCAGTTTACCTTGAATACCCCACTCAGACACAGTATACTGACTCCGAGTCGACCAGTCCTGTTTTAACCCCTTAATTTCATGGGCCAGGCAGGGTAACAACATGTACCATCTTTTAACGACTTTTGGTATGACGCGGCCGGGGATCGAAGCCACGACCTACCGCTCTCCGGGCAGACACTCTATCCACTAGGCCAGGGAGGCGACAGGAGAGTAATACATCACCATGTTCACGTGTTTGCTATATTCACAGATTGTTCTATTATGCTACGAGTATATAAGCAACGTGTATTTCAGTTAATCAACGTGCGCCGTCGTGAATCCACAATAATTCCTTTTGAACAAAATTCAATATCGAAAAATGGCGCTTCTCCATCGTTTCTGGTTTAACATAATGATCTCTCCTCTGATTCTTCAAAACTGCTATTTCATTTGCCTCATATCCAAACATTACATCACAATATTCCACCTATAATACCTCAACCGCCTCCTTAATGTCTCTCGAGGAACATCAATAACAATATCGATTATAGTTCTTCTTGCTCCTCTAAATATCATCTTACCATCATTCATTCAACATTCAGACTAAATATGTCTATTAACAGGTATTAAACGAAATCTGCATCTTCCGACAACTGAGATGCCAAGTTCAATTTTCATCCCCAAAAGCGAATATCCAGTCGTGCCATTCTGAGCCATTCTCGAAGGGCGTAATCCGTGATGTCTTTCATCTGATTAAGTTCTCGCAACCATCTTCCTGTTTTACCTTTTGCTTTATCAATAACCCACGCAGATTTCCTCAAAGTTATAACACCAGCTGTCAACATGGCACAAATAGTGATATTTCATTATAGACCCGACGTCTTTTTACCACGTAAATTCGGTCCGAAGGGAGCAGGCCAAACGTGTCTTTTTTACGCAATGACAACTGGGCGTAACAACCGTCTCTGTAGTTGAAGCTGTCCACAATGTGTTAATGAAACTCTCTGTGAAGTAGGGTCTATGGATTGGGTCTGACTGCCTTATCAGTGACGTTGGCATTGTGCCGGGGGAGAGGTGGCTAAAATTAGCATGAGGCCAAGAATATAATATCATGTCTGTGTGAGATGGGTACAGTGCAAAGAGATAATTGGCTCAGACATTTCGAGATGAAGAACACTAATAGCAAGATTGCAACTAACTTTCTGGCAGAAGCAGGGTGGAAAGTGAACCCGCGGGGGACCTCTCTACCAGCGGTTATACCGACTGATAACGCATTATGTCTAATGTGTATGACGTTAACGCAATCTACGAAGTAGAAGTCATTTTCAACAGCGGAAATCACGGCGCGACAAGCAATGTTACTTAACACTGACCATTCAGCTGTGTGTTAATCGAAACCCTTTTAGGTAATTAACATATTATTGTATACGTGGTCCGTGCAACAGCTGAGATCCTGTACCACAGTGAAATGTATTTTCTAGATACTGGGGAAAGTCACTTTATATGTATTCTGATGTCAGTGGTCACATAACGGGTATATCCTTATTATTGGATTGTTGTTACGTCACAAAACTGAGTACATATACTATTATATGCTATGATAAGCATAAAGTACTTATTTACAGCAATATAAATAGAATGATAATTAAAATGAACGAGGATACATTGTAATTTTGAAACGCACCTAAGAATCAATAAATAAACAAACAAATAAATAAATGGATACACGTTAGAGATAAAATATTCTATTATATTCTAAATGCACTAACTCGCAGTATGTACATCGTCACAGATATATAGATTACTAAAGTCCCCGTTCGACATGTGTTTATTACAGCTAGTGTATTTTCAATTTCAATATATAACGAGCAAAGCGAGTTAAATACGTTTTGAAGTGCACGAGTTGTCATAAAACTGGTATCTCAAGTGTAAAAAGTATTGCTAACAGCTTCATTGTCAGAGCCTTTGGTGATGTCATTTGATTGTGACGTCATGGTAACCAATGATGTCACAATTGTCTGCAAAGCATTGTGATGCAATTTCATTGCAGCGATATCTACAATGTATGTATCCAAGCGAGATATCCCTCTAGAACAATGTAGAGGTCGCAGAGTTCACTTGCACAGTGCTACCGACGCCTCCATTCAAAGACCAACTGAAGCCTAAATTAGACCAGTTCGTACGTCATGTTAATTAACACTAAAGGTGTATTGTTATTAAACGGAAGATCCCCTCACAGGTGAGTTATATACAGTGTTAACAGTGCTAATGGAATCAATATCTTCTGAATGAGAAGCAGCGAGAAGAGATCAAGAACAAAAACCTCCTTCTACTGTGAGTGTCTGGATCTGTATCACCAGGGAGAAATGGACGAAGCGTCGTGCAACTAACTGGTTGGTTGGTTGGTTTGAAGTTTAACGCCGCACTCAGCAATATTCCAGCTATATGACGGCGATGTGAAAATAATCGAATCTGGACCAAATAATCCAGTGATTGACATCATGAGCATCGACCCACGCGATTGGGATCGATGACATGCATCAACCAAGCCAGTGAGCCTGACCACCCGATCCCGTTAGTCGCCTTTTATGGCAAGCATGGGTTGCTGAAGACCTATGTTGCCCCGGATATTCACGGGTTGCAACTAACTGAGTATGGTCTGTCAAGATACACAAAGGCATTCGACCTATTACGAACAGTGAAGACCTGTTTTATATTATCTTCAGGATGGTCCAGTCAGACTGATTGTCTGTGAAGAGCTGCTAACGGCAATGAATTGTACGTTGCACAGCATATATACATAGCAACAAATCACCTATTAAAGTCTGATCAATGCGATAAACGTGTATGTGTGAAAATAACATATGTTATTTGAAACTTTGTGCAACAATCACGTCTACATTGCAGTATAATTAGGTAACTTAGACTATTCGTAAGTAACAGCTACTGTCACTGTTCTCTTCTGTACCAAATCTGTATCTATGCCACATACACATCAAATACATGGGTGTGGCTACGGGTGGCACAGTGGAGTTGAACGACTGGGCTTTGCCAGGATCATTGTAGGTTTGAATCCCCAAATTGCCCTGATTATGATCCCTGGTCTATCGTCACCATATCCGTGCTCATGGTTTTGGCTGTAATGGTAAACGTCTATGATCAATGATCAATACAACATTCAAGGACTCAGTAAAGCTTTCAAAAAGTGTTATGGTAGACATGTGGAGGACATTTCCAAATTTGACGCATCAGTGACAAAAATAATGTGCGATGCAATTCCCTATTTTGACTTGTACCATATGGTCCCGTGTTATTTTAGGTGAACAATTGATTTGCCTTTGCATGCATTTGTGACGGATGCCACCGCTGGGCAGGATACGCTTACCTTTACGCGAACACCTGTCATCATCACCTTTTGATAGTAATTTATAAACACGGAATCGTACACCCGACTCTGCTTTATGCAAAGATGTCTTTTTGATATGGAATGGGTTTTGTCGCTTTATTTAAAGGAAATTTGTATAAGACATTTGCTAAAGATAACAAGAAGGTACTTAACGGTTAATACAGGTGTGCTTTACCATCATTGTCGAAAACGGTAATCTGTGGGTGAACGAGGAACTTCCACAAAAGGCATATCAATCCAATATCAACCCTCCGATCGTGATCATGTCATTGGGAATATATAAAAACTATCAAAATATGCATTTAAAAAACTATGAATGTTATCGAGTGTTGCATTGATGCTGAACCTCACTAAATCAACCTCATTCGGAACATAATGTATCTATGACAAACGTTGATAATTAAAAATAGAATCATATTGAATACATACATCTACAGCAATAAAGAAATGTAAGTGTCGATAAAGATACAAATAGACGAATATGGCATTTTCCACGATAGTGAATGATGTCTTCTAAATCGTCAAAAAATCTACATCTTATCAGAGCTAATTTTGTATATACAACCGTTTGAATATACACCATTCACGCATTTAATTGTGTCCTGTGAAATAAATCGTATTTAGGACAAAGGAAATGACATACTTCGTATGGATCCTTAACCTCTCTTCCAGCTTTAAGTTCTGTCAAATCTCCAATCTCAATCCGGATTGATATTACTGTCGTGATAGTCCTTGACTTGTCTGACATTTAGCCAGAAATTGGGCAACTGTCATCAAGGACAGCGAACTCTAGACAAGTACTAGTATGTACCAGGCAACCTTACTATCAGTGAATGCTACTAATGATGAAGGGCAAAACAGACCTTTGGATACACAACGACTTACCATTTCAAACTGCAAACATGCCTAGCGGTCGTGCACAAGTTGTAGCGTCTGTTATCTTGTATTAGGTCCAAACCACATTCAATCAATGTGCGAGTTGTACTGTCATCATGGCATAGAGAGATCCGATGAAGACAATGCAGAGACAATGAAGAAAGAAATAATCAGGTATTGTTGTCCTACCGACTTCTGTGGCAGCCTCCTCGTGATTGGTCTGTGGATTAACACTGGTGTATTAAAGGTTCCTTGTCTCAAAGGGTATAACCAGGGTGTTAATGAACTCCCATTGTTATGGTCGAATTGTAGATGCGGCAGTTGGCCTCACACAGAGGTGCAAACCTCTCATTTTATACACATCTGATGTCCGTATAATTCCAGCAATCAACGACATCACCAACTCGATAATCGAATCATTCAATTTGCCAGGCCTCCTGAGGTTGACAAGCCAACGTGTCGGAGTGAAAAGGCGGCCGGATTGGTTGGCGCTGTGGGTTACGAAATCATAGCAGATGCACACGCGGTTTAATACGCAACTTGTTAAGGTCGCATGTAGGACGAAGGCGTGTGACAGAATGGCAGATTCAGGCAACCTGCGACCTGTCCGCTCAGAAGGCTCAAGGGTGCCAGTATTGATCGTGGACACATTTATACTCTGTTATCACATGGCGTCGGGCTCGCGCAATTTACGCCATACAGCTGACAAACAATTCTCCTTTATTTGTCATTTGGAATATTATTCATGCCGTATCAGCTTATCTCTTACTGTAATATCCTGCTACATAAATATTTTGACTTTGAGGAGACAAAATATGGTTTCTGATAACAGTCCACATATTATACATACAGTTATTGTATTATTTTAACATAGTCGATGTTTTGCAATGTCTCATATGTATTCACCTTAGACAGTTTGCATATTGCGAAAGGTATATATCCATTGTGCAACCAGCATACATGTAGGTTTGAATTCTATTAAGGTGGATATATCTAATTTGGGTTGTTACGACTGGTGTTTGTATTGTCTCGAACGTCAAAGATTCTACTATTCATTAGATGTCAAGTGTGCCTACATAATGATATTTGATCATTATAGAAACTGCGTAGTAAACGCATTATAAAATCAGTTCATAATTACATAAAGCAATAATGACGGTCTGACATACAAATATTGTGATCAGTATTATTTCATTGAGGTGCGTTTGTAGCATGATGTGGGTTGTTATGAATATGACGTTTCAATAACTGCTCCACAAAATATAATAATGACAGAGGTGCTTTTTTCGATCGATTAACATCGATTAATATCAACAGACGCTAATGTTAACTCCAATTACCTGATTATAGCAACCCACGAAGACAGGGATATTGTATATGAAAACGCCCTTCGACGCTCTCGCAGGTTACATTACAAATATATTCATGACATCTGAAGGAGATAAAGAATCTCTCTCTCTCTCTCTCTCTCTCTCTCTCTCTCTCTCTCTCTCTCTCTCGCTCTCTCTCTCTCTTTCTCTCTCTCTCTCTCTCTCTCGCTCTCTCTCTCTCTCTCTCTCTCTCTCTCTCAACCCCTCTTGTGTACATAATGCGTATTATTCTTCACACCAAGAGACAAGGTATCTGAAAGACAGTAAATGTCACTCATCTCAACCAGAAGAGACTGCGAGAATGCCCGCTAGCCTAGACGCAGTAGGTAAAGGCTGGTGGAGACAGCTTGCCTTGGTTAGCAGTCACATCCTCGTCTATTCCGATGAATGTACAAGCATACAGTCATACAGTCGTACACTGAAGAGATATCCGATACAACATCCGTATCACGGCGAGGTCTGGTTCATAGATATAGTGAACATACATTAACAGATCTAAAGAGCATGAAAACGAGAACAAAGACCTAAAAGACAATGACGAAGTGTTCGAGTATCTCACGTTTCTAATTCGTTCCCCACTGGACCCTTACGGGTTTACTGTGTCATCTAAAATAAGGATGTGTTATCTGGTAAACCCAATGCTATGCTTTAAAGCGGTCTCAGGCTGTCACAGCTTGAGTGAGTGAGTGAGTGAGTTCGGTTTTACGCCGCTTTTAGCAATATTCCAACAACATCACGGCAGAGGACACCAGAAATGAACTTCACCCGGGGAATCGTACCCGGGATCTTTGAGCGAACGCATTAACCATCAGGTTCTCCCGATTCCGCCTTCGCTTTTTTTTCAATTACAGCTGATAATTTTTTTAATTAAAACTTTGAGATTCAATATGTTTGAAAGAAAATACTTATTTTCTTCAAGCATTTTCTGCGACAATTGGACTTTCGATAAAAACTCAAGCTCCCCCCAGAATATCAAATGTTCGGTCCCTTAGAATGGAGAAAAGGTATAGATAGTCGACGTGAAAATTGTGAGAATATGCGGGAAAGTCATCATTACCTAAATACGGGTATATATTTTAAAGCGTGTACTGTTTGATAACATCCTTAAAGAGGCTGTACGTAGTGTTGATATCTCATGTAAGAATAAACTCCCACTCGTCGCTTATTTCTTATGTCATCAAACATTTTCAGTGATCCATTCATATTTTCACCGTTATTTTGCCTTTTACGCCCACTGGAATCTGTTTCAGGAGATATTCGAGACAGGTTAAATTATTCTCTGACGCTGACGTTTTATATTACGACATGTTATCTGATATGTGAACGGTACATGTACATAAAAGTAACACATACACGTGAAGGGATAAACGCGCAATGTTAATTTTGTATTTAATCGCTGTACCTATGAAATATCGGTGTTTAGATCAAATGAATAGGTCGCATAGGAATGTCATCGTATCCTATTTGCGAAGATCGATGCACGGATGGCCCAGTCGTCTAAGGCGCCGCGATTCGCTGTGCAGAGTTGCGTCCCTTGGGCACGCCAGAAACCTATGATTGTGGGTTCGAATCCCGGTTCGCCCATATTATGTTTCTAGGTTTGTCAGCACCATACCCGTGCTCGTGGGTTTCACCGAAGTGGTAAACGTCTGAGACCTGCATCACTTCGGGCTTTCCTCCCACATTAAGCTGACACGCCGTGATATAACTGGAATACTGTTAAAAGCGGCGTTAAACCCAACTCACTCACTCACTCACTCACTCACTCACTCACTCACTTTGTACATTGTCTGTCTTTTTCATTGCAACTTTTCCATCTGAATCTTTCCTCCCACATTAAGCTGACGCGCCGTAAAAGTTGAAAAAATTGTTCAAAGTGACATTAACCCAACTACTGTGTTACATAACCTATTATAAGGAACGACATGTCCATTGTACACATGATGCGTGATCGCAATAAATGGGAGTTCTTGTGTTCAGTCTGAGCTGCAGTACTTACAATATCGGATGTCCGCAATAATGGATGCTGTGCTACTTGCCGCGATATAAAATAGCTCTGAAAGCAAAACGGACATCAGATTTGAAGTAAAGAACACGAAAGTCGATTCAGCATAATGTGTTTTACTTGACTTCCAAACAAAGTGTTCCGACATTGTTTCTCTAGTAACATGAGAGCTTCGGCGCCAACGACAGTGTCACAGAAATAGGAAAGAATTTCAACGGAATTATCTTTACCAAACGGGCCATGTCATTTACTTTTAAAAAGGTGAATCAATATTTTGTTTTGTTTGGCTTTCATTTTAAATTGTTAATCTAATATATACGGAAGCTTTCTTCGCCAAACTATGATGGACTGTGTTGATGCTGTTGGTTGCTAATTATGTTTCATCATAACCCCCTCCGAGGTTCACCCACATCTGCCAACGATGCTGAAGTGAATGGATCCTAATGGTGTAGAAGGCTTCACCTTGGTGATGTGAAAGGTCATCATCGTAAGCATATTTGCTGGGCGGTTCTTTCTTCATGTCTGGGAAGAGGTGGAAACATAACGGTGCCAATTCTGATGAGGGCGGAGGGTTTCAATGAGCTCAAAGTCACAGTCCTAAATTGTCCTGGACGAACATGACACCTTTTAGGGAGCTTTCACGACGTTTATCCTTCATGATATTCTCACTCAGTTGTCTTAGTTGGAAGATTAGCATAATGATGGCACCGGGTGTTACGAAAACGGTGTGCATATCGTGTTCCGCTGATGGCACACATTACAAACACACGCAAAGCCAAGTCAATTGCTCACTTGACAAAAACAAGGAAACATATGGCACAACTAAAAGTAGGGCATTGCATCGGACATCATTCTTGCCACAGATGCGACAAATTTGGAAATGTCCCTCACATATCAACCATAAAATCTTTTGAAAGCTTTACTGACGTCGTGAATGATGTAACCCTGATCAAACAACTTTTATGCAAGAAATACGTCATACGTGAAATCTACGTACAAAATCAGCATGCTCAAAAGACATAAGGCTCGCGTTGCTGGAATGTTACTGACATAAAGGGAAAGTTAACTATTGGAAAGTTGAAGTTATTGAAGCCCATCATGGTTAGGCTAAGAACATTTCAGCCACCCCTCGTAGCAGTGCAACATGAAACACTTTCTATATATACGAAATTTACGTTACTGAAATAATGATAGCACCTATGTGTTTCGTTTTTGAGAAAGTATAGTTATGAGAAGTTTGAGGCTCAAGTATCTTCAATATGTAATAGAATTAAACCTATAGAATCTATACCGTTAAAATCAAAGTTTAGTACTCTCGCTTAGATGTTTTGCGAATCTGAGCAAAACGGTGTGCATATCGTGTCCCGCTGATAACACACATTACAAACACACGCAAAGCCAAGTCGATTGCTCACTTGACAAAAACAAGGAAACATATGGCACAACTAAAAGAAGGGCATCGGACATCATTCTTGCCAATGATGCGACAAATTTGGAAATGTCCCTCACATATCAACCATAAAATCTTTTGAAAGCTTTACTGAGGTCTCGAATGATGTAACCCTGATCGAACAACTGTTGTGCAAGAAATACGTCATACGCGAAATCTACGTACAAAATCAGCATGCTCAAAAGACATAAGGCTCGCGTTGCTGGAATGTTACTGACATAAAGGGAAAGTTAACTATTGGAAAGTTGAAGTTATTGAAGCCCATCATGGTTAGGCTAAGAACATTTCCGCCACCCCTCGTAGCAGTGCAACGTGAAACACTATCTATATATACGAAATTTACGTTACTGAAATAATGATAGCACCTATGCGTTTCGTTTTTGAGAAAGTATACTTATGAGGAGTTTTAGGCTAAAGTATCTTCAATATGTAATAGAATTAAGCCTATAGAATCTATACCGTTAAAAATCAAAGTTTAGTACTCTCGCTTAGATGTTTTGCGAATACTTGCGACCCTGCTACATACGAAACGCAGAGAATTGCCATGTGAAATATAGATTGTATGGTAAAGGCCTTTTTACAGTCTTAGGATGAAAAAATGGTAAAGATGATCGGACCATAAAGACTGGTTGCGTAACAACGGATTGATTGACAAGAGACTGCAGTCCTATAATCAATACACGGTTACATGAACATATATCAAATACCATGAAGTTTTAGAAAAAAATAACATAAAGGTGAAAGGGTCTCGACTTGAGCTTGGTACTTAAGG